GCCTGCCTTATAAAGCAGTGGGTTCCCTGACCTTGGGGTACACACAAGCTGCATGATCAGCTACAAGGGTTGTTGTAAAAGATTCCTGTATTACCCTGGAGGCCTGCTTTTCAGAGTTATGTCCCTGGGCCAGCAGTACTGGCATTACTGGTGAGCTTGTTAGAAACTGAAGTACCCTAAAAATACCCTGACCTTGTGATAAGAATCATGGGTGGGTGGGGGGAGTGAGGCCCAGGAAGCTGTTTTAAGAAACCCTCCTCCCAAGTATGTTATGTTTGAGAACCATACATCAGACTGAAGAGCTTGGGTTCTCAAACACAGATCCCCTGAACCCTGCCCCAGAGTTCAATCTCCAGTACAAAAAAAAAAAAAATTCAATTTATTTGATCCAGTAATCACCACCACTTCTATATTTATCTTACAGAAAAAAAAAATTTACCTCTCCACACATAGATTAATGCACATGGATTTACTGTCTTTAGGAAGAGTAAAAAACTGGAAATGAACATGTCCAAATTATAAAGAATTGTTTAAGTGATTGTAACAATCTCTATGAAAGAATGTCATACAGCAATTTAAAGCAGTTTTCTTAAAAAACGTTTAAGGATGTGAAAAAATCCTTACAATATATTAAGTGAAAAAGCAGAATGTTAATATAAATATCTGTGTTCATATGGAAGAAAAGGTCCAGATGATATCTAGTAGGATTACGGGTCAATAAAAAGTTAATTGTCCATTTCATATCTTTCTTGATTTTTTTAAACTTCCTCTCATAAACACAAATTATTTTTATAATAAAATGATAATCTTATTATCTTGAGGCTCATAAGATAACACTCTAGAGGCCAGGACGTTATTGAATCTTTTAGGCCTAAGGCCATGAACATAAAAGAGAAGCTGGTACAAGTGGGATTTCAGAGGAAGAGACAAATTTGCTCAATTGGCATTTTTCACTATGAAGAACATTAGTCCTAGTTGATTACTTATGTGGAGAATTGAATAAAATTAAAAATTCACTTCCTTAGTTGAACTGGCCACATTATAAGTACTTTATAGTCACAGGTGCTAAGGCATCCCCTCTGGGATGAGGCAGGTTATGGAATATTTCCTTCACTACAGAAAGTTTCACAGGACAGCACTGCCCTAAACATGCAGTCTCAGGACTTTTTTTGTCCTTTGTGCTCCAGCCACAAGTGTGAGCTGGAGCCTCTTGAGGACAGAGACCATCTCTGTGTGGCTCTCCCAATCCAGTGGGGGAGATCCCTATACACAACCAACCTGGGAGTGCAGACAGGCAGGAAGGCACTTGGTGGACACAGCACAGAGCTGGGTCAGGGGTTCAGGGAAGACAGGAGGAGTAGGTGCTATCCAAATAGGGAAGGATACTTGTGCATGCAGGGCGAGGAGCATGAAAGTAATAAAGGTACTGATGACAAACAGCCAGCACAGGGGGAAACCCCTACCCCAACAGCATTTGTTCATTCCTCACACAGTAAAGGCCGCAGTGGGCCAGGACTGAGCAGACACCAGGACAGCTATGGTCCCTGCCCTCACCACGCTTACAGTCTCATCAGAACTGTGGGTGCACTGCGGGTAGGTGAGGTATGCCAAAGACTGAGGATGGAGAATTTCCCAATCAAGGCCCTTCAACCTATATTAAGGATCCTGTTTGGTTTGCTCTGTATCCTAGCAAGAGAACCCTGTTTTCTGCCTCAGTGGGGGCAGGAGGGCCCCATCCTTGGGCTTCTCTTGGTCCCCACCTGTTAGTCCCCACCCATGCCAGGGCTATGGAGAGCTCCTCTGAACGGCAGGCAGCACAGGGCAGGAGACTCAGTCTTAGGAAATCTCTCCAGAGGCTAGGTGGGCTGTGAGTTTAAGAAGTGTGAGAATAATGACAGAAATCTGGTTGGGGGGACACCGGAGTCCTCCAGGAGGAGATCGATTCTGAAAAAATACAGGAGACCTGAGTGGCCTGGAAGCAGGAGAACCCACTCCAATTTACAGAAATGCTAGAGACAGGAGTCTAGCAAGGAGGGAGGGGCACCAGCCGCTGCGGGGAGGGTGTGTCCGGAGGCCCTGTCGCACGCAGGGCGGCCCTGGCCTCTTGGGAGAGCACCCCTGGTAAGGCGGATGGAGGCCTGGAGGGGCGCAGGCGACCCGAGTAGAGGAAGGACTGGGGGGGGGGGGGGGGAGAGATGGGGGGGGCCGGCAGCAGCAGGTGTACAGGCACCTGGGGCGCGAGGATGGGTGGCAGAGGGCGAGCCATTCCAAGAGAAGGAACCCCTTCCTTTAGACTTAGGGGCTCTTTCCCGACCACGTCCTTGAGCATCTAGAAGCGGCAGGGCACGTTCTCCCCGGCCTGAGACCCGTGAGGGCCGCGGTGTGCCGGCCTGCCACAGGGCGGAGGCTTCGGGGCGCAGGAGGCGGCTGCTCCCCGGACACTGGCCCCGGCCCTCCCGCCAGGTGACCCCCTCAGGCACCCCGGCCTTTCCTCCCGGAACCACACCGACCCCCTCCCACAACGCGGTCCCTCCAGGCTCGGTCCCCTCTCATCGCTACCCTTCACGTGGCTGGCTTCCCGCTCCTGCCCCTCCCGGACGCACCCCTCCCAGGCCATGGTACCTGGGGCTCTCGAAGCTGCACCCCCTGCGCCGCAGCGCCGCCCTCTTCTGCCGCAGGAGCGCAGCGGCTGCCCCGCCGGGCTCCGGCTCCATCGCCCCGGGCGGGGGCCGCAGGCTCGGGCGCACTCGGGTGGGCTCGGGCCTCGGCCGGACGCTCGGCTACCGCGCCGCAGCCCATGCCCCGCCCCGCAGCCCATGCCCCGCCCCGCAGCCCCACGCCCCGCCCCGCATCCCTCAGCGAGGCCCAGGCCCCGCCCCGAACCCCAGCCAGTCAGCCCCGGCACCCCTCTACCGGGCCCAGGCCCCGCCCCGAACCCCAGCCAGTCAGCCCCGGCACCCCTCTACCGGGCCCAGGCTCCGCCCCGAACCCCAGTCAGCTCCCAAGCTCCTTTGTCGGACCCGAGCTCAGCCCGGAATCCAAGCCCAGCTGGCCCCAGGCTCCACCCCTGGTCCACCCAAGCCCCGCCCCACACCAAACCCAGTCAGCCTTCAGTCCCCCACCAGCCAGGCCCAGGCCCGCCCTGGCCTCGCCCGGAGTCAGCCCAGCAGGATGCAAGCCCCAAGCCTGGCTCAAGCTCCGCCCCTCCCACGCCCAGACCCCGCCTCATACCCAGCCCAACCGGCCCCTCAGCAGGGCCCAGGCCACGCCCCTCCCCGCTCCGAACTTCTGCGTAGTCGGCCCCTGGCTTTTGCGGTCCATCACAGGTCCCGCCCCGGCTCCGCCCCAAGCTCCAGTCACGCCCCTCCCGCTCAAGCCACGCCGCGGGCCTCAAGGCAGCCTTTCGCTTGCACCTCTGTGGAGATTACAGTCCCGAAACGCCTTCCCTTCCTCACCCTGTCCCACCCACCGCGCTGGCCCTCCTGCTCCTTGCCCTTCAGCACTGACTCAGCCCTGCCCACCTACCCCTCAGCTACTGAGCGCTCGCGCGGTCGCGCGGCCCAGGCCCTCACACCGCAGCTCTGCTCCCTCAGCGTAGCCGCCCGGCCCCTCTTCGCCTCAGCATCTCCTGGCCCTTTCCGTCGTAGCACCGCCCCCTTTCGGGGCCGCCCTTCCCCGTGTCCCGCCCACAGGCATGACCGCACTGCTGGAGCCCCGCCCCTCCTCTGCCCAGTTCCTCCAGTCCCACGGACCCGACCCGGGCCTGCCCGGCTCCTTCCACGCCGCCTCTCACCTCTGGAAGCACCTGCCTGCGCGGGACCGCCCTTCTGGCTAAACCGGCGTTCCTCCGTGTAGCATGCGCTAGCTGCGGATCGACTAGCGAAGGTGGCGTCTCTCCTGGGGGCTGTTTGTGGCGCCTGACTCAGGCTGAGGGGCAGGAGCTTTGCAGGTTAGCCATCGTGGGCTCAAGTTTTGATTTCAAAACTTTCCAACTTTGTGACAACTGTGCTCACTTCCTCCCAAAATTAGATGCATCGTTTCAGAGCCCTTGAACGCTGGCTGAGAACGGGGACCCGTATGGGTAAAACTGGGGATACTGGGTCATCTCGATCAATAGAGGAAATAGACTATGGCTACTTAAGCAAGCGAAGCCTCGTCTCAGTTACGGAGGTGTGATCATGCTGGCCTGAACTAGCCTGGTAGAACAGAGGCCGAGGACCTTTGCTTAGAGAACTGCAGCGTTGGTAGGCACTGACCAGGCAGGCAGAGCCAGGGGATCCCATAATCAGCGTGGATCGTGGCATTCCCTGGAGCACTCTCTCAATGACTTTCAGTCGCTTTTCCTCCGGCCTGGCCTCCCTTGATGCTGCACATTCAAGCAGAGAAGCCATTCTGGAAGGAGAAGGAAGGAGATGCCTGGAGAGAAGACTCGGGGAGCTCCCATGAGAGAGGGAGAGAGATAGCAAGAACTTTCCATTTCTCCTTCCAGCCCCTCTTGAGATTCCCTTGGTCCTTGCCCCAGGGTTCCACAAGACAGCCCTTTAAAACAGTCCTTTTTCTTTTAAGCAAGCGAGAGTGGATTTTGGTTTCGGTTTTGTTGTTGTTTACTTTTGCCTAGGATCATGAACTTCTAAAATATCTTTTCGGACTTAGACCGCATAGCTCCCCTAATTCTTTACACAGTGAGACCTGGGCGCTTCCCCTCTCCCTTCACCCTGCTTCTCATTTCTTAGCCCTGGCCTCCAAGTTTTCTGTGGTCTCTGAACTGAATTTTCAAATGCCCTTTGCCCTCTAAGGTGTCTCCAGCTCTCTTGCCTTCCTCTCCTGAGTGCCCCCACAGCACTGCCCCTGTCCCTTTCTGAGAATACTGCTCCTATATGCTATTTATGTTCTAGTTACTCTTAGCTGAGCTCTGAGTGCCCCATACCTCCTCCATGTTCTACCTGGCACAGTAACTGCCATGTGAATGAATGCATGTGATTTTAATAAATTGAACAATATTCATTGGAAAACACATTTAATTTCAAAGTAAACAAAGATGTCTGTACATTAAAGTATTTAATTAGTGAAACAATTATTATCAATGTAACAAGCTGAAAAATACAGCAACTTGATACAAGACTGAGGTAACAAAATACTTCACCAAAAATCTAAAGAATCCCATGGAGGGCTGATGTTCAGTGGTTATTGCAGATGAGACAATTCACAAGTATTAGAGAAAGTCCTTACACGGCTGCATGCAGGGGTCTGCTGGAAAAAAAGACAGCCTGGGAGAATGCAACAGATTTAACAAGAAACGAACAAAAATGTAGAAACTGATTTCAACCCACTTAGAAGAATACATAAGAAATCGAAAACTACTTTCTACGCAACATTTTGAATGCTAAGTGGAAAACCATGCATTTTGGCACGAAATTTATTAAAGATTATACTATACTAATAAATCAATTTCTATTATTTCATTACTGAATGGTCACAGTCATTCAGAAATGGATAGACTCATGGTTACAAAATGAACCGATGGATCTTCTGCGCTGCTGTGAGGGGATTTGGGGGCTGCCCGAGGGGTAAACACACTTGTGCAGCAGAGGGCTATGAGGTGGATCAATGTCCATGGACAAGTTCTCCACGGCCAAGGAAATGCAGCTCTTGCTCATACTGTACTTGATTTTAACACTAAAGTTAAAGACAAAAGCCCATCACATAAACTCGGTGGAGGTTCTGACCTTACTCTCTCATTCTACCTTTGGAGTCCTCTGTATGCTCAGCCACAGCTCTGTGCCTAACTGTTCTGAGCTATGTGGCCTCTAGTGCACACTCCAGCTAGTCCTCATTGTGACAGAACTCACAGAGTAAGACTGGTCAGTCTGTGGGGACTTTTGAAGTGTTTCTGGAAGAATCTGTGCATGAAGATTGTACCCAGGGCTGGGGAGAGGTGGGTTCTTGCCCAAGGAGGTGCATGAGGTGGGGATCATTTGTTCGTTGAGTGGTCAACCCTACGAGAGCAGATCCAATCTGTCTGGTTTTCAGCCATTTATACCCTGGATAGAACCTCGTGCATGGGAGACACTCACTAGAGATATGAATGAATGAATGAATGGGGGTTTTATGCAGAGAAACTGTATTTCAAAGGGACTCTTACAGTTTCTTTTTGTTTTTAAAACATGAAATCACCCAATATTTCAATAATGACATAGGGTTGATTACAGTAATATACGGGGTCACAAAAAAGAAGTAAGATTGTGTTTTGGTGATGTTCACCTGTAACTGTGAGCATCAGCAATGTGGTTGTAGCACTCTGGACCCACCCAGGAATAAAGCAAGCTTGGCTTGCAAACGGCTCCCCATTTTCACAGACCATATTCTACCTGAAATATGGTGACCTTAAAGATACACCTTTCTGGGCTTGGGACGGGGAGCAAGGTAAAGGTAGAAACACTGGCTGTCTCGGTAAGGAAAAGAAATACTTTAGAAATCAGTTGGCAATCCTTGAGTTCCTCAAGGATTCCTTCAAGTATTCAGCTCCTCAGCGCCTCTGTCTGACAGGATGCTGAACAGTCAGGGGAGGGAATGCTGCATTCACCCTGGGTATATTCAGAACAATGTTTCTACAGCTTTCCACCAAACCCTCCTCCACAAAGCATTCCAGTTGCCAGAATGCACTCAGCTGACCTTGAGTTTTACATACAGAACGTGTTCAGCTGAGGGTTAGAAAGTATGTGGGGTGAGCTGCATGGATTGTTCTTAGGACATCACAATGCTACCAGCTACCTACTCCAGTTTGTAGACAGCATTCTACACCTTTCATTTTGGCCACGATTTGTTTGCCTAAAAAAAAAATTACAGTATATGCATGCAAGACATAAGACCTTCAATGGGTTCACAAGTATTTGTGCACAATGGACAGTCGAGGAGCAAAAACCAGAAACACTTCCCTCTAGGGCGAGAATCCACCCAAGGACCTCCCCCACTCCGTGGTTTGTGCCCGGTTTGTGGGACAAGCTAGCACTGGGAAGACAATCAGCACTGAACTCACATACTTGGCCTGAGTCCCTGCTTGGAGAATTGAGTATCTTTCAACTACATCTCCAGGACTCTTCTGATGTGTTCAGGGCTCTTACCAGTCCTACCAGGCTTTTGCCAATAAGACTGGCTTTTGCCAGTCAGTCCAAACTGATTCTTCAAGAGTCCAAGGAAAGAAATGTTTCTGAGAGGTGATGTGGGATCAGTCTCAACTAGTGAACAGATTAAGTGCTTTGAAAAGAATTGTGATTGTGCTCTTTCAAATTAGGCTCAGAAGCAAACATCTGTGAAGGAGAAGAAGCATCTGTAAAGGACAGAAAACTATTTGATTTAGTTGAGCCTGAAATTCTGGGAGTTTGGCATCTGTTGTATTTCATATGTGAAAAGCCAGCGTAGTGTGAAGAGTGGAGAAACAAGGAAAATAAGTAGCCAGTGTTCCAGTCTTGCACTTCTATCCAAGCTGAAGACTTTTTAGAAGTTAACAGGTGAGATCAGATTGGATGTAGGTCAAAGCATGACCATTGCATGGTTCTGATTGGAAGTGACTGCAGTGTCTGGCCTTGTTACTCAGCCTTCAGATACCAACTTGAAGAGTCTAGGTGCACACACTCAGACCTGGGGTACGGGCGGACATGCAAGGCTGTGGCTGAGATTTGATGGCATCAACGTTACCATTGGGAGTTTCTTTTGGCATGAAAGTATCCAGTCTCTGCTCCAAAGGAAGGTGAGTTTCTGAGCACAGTCAGGCTCCAGCACAAAGTATCACCCTGATGACAACACTCCCTCAGCAACACATTCAGATTTTCAGAGTCATCACCATTTGATCAAAGTACTGTGGTGGGTCTGTTGGTAGATCTTATCGTGGTGACCTATTACAGTGTACTGATTAAGGTGTTGTGAAGCTTCTTGCCAGGAAACTCTTCAGGGCAGTTTGATGCCTTGTTGGTGTGAGTTCTGATACCATGATAGCAATGGACCCAGAAATTCAGTCTCTTTCAGAAAATCATTTAAGGGTTTCCCTCTCAGGATACAGACATTCAAGTTAAAGGAGAGAAAGGGAGACAGAGACAGGCTATGATGATAAAGCACAATTAATGTTGAATAAAAATATATTTGTGCAAAATAAAAATCACTTTAAATTATGACAGAGTGTGACAGATCAAGGCTGTTGTTCATGGAAAGCACTCTTAGCCAAATGCAGAGGCTGGACCATTTGCTCCCCAGAGCTCTCAGATGGTCATCCACAATTGTGCCCTTGGACTTGGATGATGGAGAACTTGCTGGTGACTGCATTTGGGGGCAAGACTGGGGGAGCTTAAGGCCTCAGTGTCACTCAGCTCCCTGCATGATCAGGAATCCTGGTGGGTCTGCCCTGGCAGTGGAGGCCAAGGGGCGCGATGGCAATGGCAGCGAGCACAGCCTGCCCTGTGGGGGAGGTTGGCGTGAAGGGGCCTCTGGGCAGCTGATCACTGTGAGCACGGCGGCCTCCGAGCTGCTTCTGAGGACACCAGGAGAACATGCCACAACTTCCCATGCAGGCACGGCGGGAGCGGGGGAGATGAAAGGGCCCCAGGCCCTGCCAGGAGAGGGCATGAAAGGAAGCAAGCAGGCCAGCGGCCCAGTCCACCGTCCTGAGCCGGTTCTTGCTCGGAAGGGCTGACAGCAACAAGGCCTGGCAGAGCCCCAGGGCCCAGGAAGCAGGCCTTCCAGATGAATAGCACCCATAGGAACAGAAAGCAAGACACGGTTTAAGGCATTGTTTGTTTACAGTGAGAGAATGTGAGGGAGCATTAACACTGGCGCTCCCACCCGACCTTTCTCGGTGGACAAGGCTATGACTGAAGGTGAAAGCAGGCCCTCAAAGCGAATGAAGTGTGTGATGTCACAAGTCCTGTGCCAAAATGCATGTTTCTTGAAGAGTTCACACTCACTCCCACGCACACATGGACGGCACACATACGCAGAGGACGCTTCGGGGATTGTACAAAATCTGAGGCAGCCCTGGGGGGTGAGCAGCCCCGTGCACTTGGGGTGTAACGAGCCTGTCCCGCAGCCTGTCCTGCTCTCAGGCCCTTTCGCAGGTTAATGCTGTCCACTGTGTCAGCAGAAAGCAGGAGAACCCAACGTGGGCCAAATGCACTCTGTTGCAGAAGCAGCTGGTGGACAACAAAGGCCCAGAAAGGGGACTTGGGGTGTGCAGTCTGGGGTCCAACAACCGCCCTGTGAGGTGGTGCTGCGGGATGAGAGTCATGAGAGTCGCTGGGGATTGACAGGTGGATCCAGCACTTGGGGAGCCCTCTGCGACTGTGAGGCTGAAGGCTGTGTGCATCCCCTGAGTCTGGCTGTGAGGCTCCCAGCGCTCTGGCTCACAGCCTGTGCCCAGGGTTGCTCTTGTCCACCGGGCCCAGTCTGGGCTCCCAGAAGCCTTTGTAGTCACGCCAAGTCCTGCAGAGACTTATTCAAATGACATAAGGTTTGCAGGTACCTAGAAGAGAAAGCTCAGCTTCTTGTCAAAGTTTTAACACTTCAAAGAGACAAGGGTGGTCTCTAGGGGAAGTCTGTTAATGCACAGGTCAGGTGGGTGGGGGCATGGCAATAATAACAGCTGCTACGTGTCACAATCCCATGTGCTGGGCACTGCTCTGAATGCTTCCTATGCATCATGTGCTCAAGTCCTTATAGCAATCCTATTGGGTAGGTGCCAGAAACACCCCCATAATGAAGATAAGAAACTTAGGCTTAGAGGGTTTAAGTCCACAGCAAGTAAGAAGCAGGGCTCAGACCCTAAGCCCATGCTCTCAGCCATTATCCTATGTTCAAAATAAAACTGTGTTTAGGGTGAGGAAGTCAAACCCTGAAGGAACAGAGTGTATGCCTTTGGAGGGGACAAGCAGCAGAGGGTGGGTCATTAGGGGATGGCAAGTAGAAGCACAGGAGACTGACAAAGCGTGCGGATACTGAGAACCCAATACCTCTCCATAGCTATATCCAGGACAAGATCTTAGCTCCCTTTACTGGGAGGACCACTGACCTCAAGGTCAGAATGTTGCCACTGTCCCCAAAGCTGTCTCCAGATCCCCAGACTTGGACTTTCTTCTCTGGCATTGTTTTGGGTTCCAAGAGATTTTATTAAAAGCATATATATAGCAGTAGCCCACACCTGTAATCCCAGCAACACTGGAGGCTGAGGCAGGAGGATCCCAAAGTTGAGATCAGCCTCAGCAGCTTAGTGCAGCCCTAAGCAATTTAGTGAGTACCTGTCTTAAAATTTTAAAAAATAAAGGACTGGGGATGTGGCTCAGGGGTAGAGAATCCTTGGGTTCAATTCCCAGTACCAATTAATAAACAAACAAAACAAGCACATGTCAGTAACAATTGGTCAAAATGATGAATTAGAAAAAAAAAAAAAAAGCACTCCCATATACCAGGAGACAGTTACAAAAATGTTTGCAGCAGCATTCTCATAGGAACAAAAGGCTGGAAGTCATTTCTGTGATGACTGACAGCAGAACTGATAGAAAAATCAGCACAAATAAATGAATGACAGCTACACACGTCAACACTGATGAATCTTACGAACGTGTAGTGGAAGAACAAGTCACAGAAGGAAATGTATAGCTCTGGTTCTAATCACAAAGATGCTTTACAAATGTACCCAGACAATACAAGAAAAAAATCAAATGCGTGTTCTAAAATTATGAAGGAGTGCTAGAGGTGTAGCTCAGTGGTAGAGCACTTGCCTAGCATGCATGCACGCCCTGGCTTGCTCTCCCTACCACAGTAAATGAAAATAAAGTAATAAAAGTAAGTAACACACACAGCAGGAGCATGGCTATGGGGCGAGGGTGAAGAGAGAGAATCAGGAAGAGGCACTTGTGGGAGGGAGGGCTCCTAGGCCTGAGGGCTCTGCATTTTGGCTGGGAGGTGGATATGTGGGTGTTCATTCTGCTGTTGTTTGTATCTTACACATATGTTATAAATAAGGTTTAAGTGGATTCAGTGTCAGTAAAACAATTTTGAGAAGTGCAAAATAGAAACACAGTCTAGTGGCTGAGATTCCACGTGGACAGCTGCATCTCTGTGCAGCCCTTTCACACCTTCCCTCCCTTCCTTTGCAGGGACACACCGTGACTCATTTAAATAATCCCCTTATGTTGAGTATTTAGGTTGTTGCTAACCTCTTATTATTCCATACAGTACTGTGGAACTACTTGATGGGAAATAAATTAGAAATAAAAAGGAAACAAAATTGGGGGAAAAAAAAAAGGTCTGAATATTGGACAAAAGTACTTCAAAGTGGCAGAAGCTTGCCACAGTGCACTGTTTGCCAGCATGAGCAATCTCACCAAACGCTCACTCTGCCCCATGTTTTTTTCCTAAACCCCCACTGCCTGCTGAGCAGCTGCTGCCACCTGCTGACTGCTCCCTACAGAGGGACAATGGGTCCTTGCCCAGGGCTCTCTTTGCTGTGCCTCCATGAGACCAGGGCCCTGCCTCTTCCCCCACACCCTCCTAGGCAGCCCACTGCAGGGCTGTCAGTTCCTGTTGGACCTGGAGCCACCTGGCCTCTGTGCACAAATCACAGGGCCACCTGTGTGTGGTAGGTGAGCATCAGTGTGCTGTATGTTCTTAGTGGTGCTGAGACACCTGGGATAACCTGTGTGGGGGAGGTCAAGGTGGCTCCAGGTCCAGCTCTTCCTTTCTTTATGCAGCTTGAGATGGCAGCCCCTTCGTTTTAACCTTGTCAGCTTATCCCCTTTGAATTGCCTTGAAACTACTGTCGACCCAAACCACTGGTCTTCCTGTTGTGCAGATGGGCAATCATGTTAATTGAATGTACTAAATATATACAAACTGGGCTGGGGATGTAGCCCAGTGGTAGAGTACTCGCCTAGCATGTCCAAGTCCCTGGGTTCAAACCCAGTATTGGGAGGGGGAGAAGTAAACACTCTAGAAACTTCAGAATGCTAGTCTCTTCTATATCAATGTAGAAATTCTACATGCACATACAAACATACATACAGTTGTTTTTTTTTTCTTTCTTTCTGGGCTGGGGATTAAACCTAGGGCCTTGTGCCAGCTAGGCAAGTGCTCTACCCATAGCCCTCTCCCCCTACAGGGTGACCATGAACTTGTGATTCGCCTGCCTTAGCCTCCTGCGTAGCTTGGATGCATACATACTTTGGTACAAATAAGACTAAGCCTTCCAATGCTCCTGCCCTTTCCTATATTGCTTATACCTAGAGCCTCTTTCGGGGATGGCACATGGCTCGCTATCCAGGGTTGTGCAATAGGGATCTGCTGTGGGTCACGGAGGGTTCCAGGTGTTTTGTTTGCTGTTATTGTTGTTTTTATAAAGAATAATGCTACAGTGAACATTCTTTAATATGTATCTTTAAGGAAATGGGCGATCATGTCCCTAGCAGTCCCATAGGTGAGTCAAGGGACTCCAGTGCAGTTTTTTGGGGGCCTCTGTGCTGCCTCAAGCTTATCCTCCAGTTAGTCTTGTCCTGTTGCTTCCATTTATTGAGGACATTCCACTAGTTCTGCTTTCCAGTCTCTTTACACAGACAATCTCAATCAGCTTCTCTTGTGTGTCCTCATCTACATTACAGATGAAATTCCTCAGTGGGACCAAGCTGAGGGCAGAGTCCAAGGACTTGCCCCTAGAGACCTCCATCTGTTTATAAGAGATACTCTGAAGAGCTGAGAAGTCTGTGGCAGTGCTGTGTCCCTGTCCCCCCCAGACCCAAGTGTCTGGTGTGAGCTTGCCTTTGCTGAGGACCCCTCAGACCTGCAGGGCTGCTGCCAGCTTCTCATCTGCTTCCAGCCACCAGCAGCTTTCCTCCTGGAGGCTACCACTAGCTATTCTACACCCTATGCTCTCTCCATCTGGTGTGGAGGCTGGAGGCAGCCACTTTTGACCCAGGCCCGACTGGCTGGCTGCGCCCCCAGGCCCCTTAGGCAGTTGCAGGTACGCCCAGGGAAGTGGAGGTGGGAAAGCCCAGGCCAACACGGTCAGAATCCAGAGGCATGCCCTGTGGGCCCCCAGCCCCGAGGCTCACTAACTGTAGGCCCTTGAACAAGTGTCCACCCCTTCCTCTCTCCCTCCCTCCCTTCCTTCCTTTGGTCCCTTCTTTTTGGTTCTGGGGATAGAACCCAAGGGTGCTTTATCACTGAGCTACATCCTCAGTCCTTTTTTTTTTTTAAGATTTATTTTTTAGTCTTAGGTGGACACAATATTTTAGTTTTATGTGGTGCTGAGGATCGAACCCAGTGCCTCGCACATGCTAGGCAAGCACTCTACCACTGAACCACAACCCAGGCCCTACATCCTCAGTCCTTTTATTTTTATTTTGAGACAGGGCCTTGCTAAGTTGCCTGGACTGGCCTTGAACTTGCAATTCTCCTGACTCAGCCTGAGTCACTAGGATCACAGGCCTGCACCACCCCAACCAGTGTGCCTGCTACTTTATAAGCATCAGGATCCTCAGTGTTAAATAGAGGCAGTAAGAGAAGCTACCTCTCAGGGACGTGGGAGGACCAGCCAACTCCTGCATGTGAAGCATCTGTATAACAGGTGGTGAGGAGAGGGGGCGGTAGTGGGGGCAGAGGGAGCCCACATCAATACAGTCCCCTGGGGGAGCTGCAGTCCCCATTCATCAGCACCCTTGCCTGGCACATGGCTGGCCCTTAGCAACTTAGCCATTACTGTTATTCTCATCAGTCAGTTTTGAGTATTCCCAAAAAGTTTACTTTTGGGGGATGACCAAAGTAAAGTTCCTGATGATGCAGGAACTTGATTCTTTGACTGATATCATACCTGCCACCTCATCTTCCCCCAGTGGGTATTTCTGTGGTGTTTCCTTTAGTGGGAAAGACACAGGAACCAGATTTAATGTTCTGGTCTGGACCTGGGCTTTGTTCTAAGCTAAGAAGGGGTGCCTTGCCCCAAGGGAAAATGCTGACCCAGGGAGGGTGCCCAGGAGCAGAGCTGATGGGCTCTGAGGGAAGAAGGGAGCCCCATTATCTAAAGGGCTGAGTGCCCAGGGTGGGAGGGTACTCAGGGGACTTTACCTGAGGCCTGTTGCTCTTACACGCGTCATCCAAATGCTTGTGCCACAGTATTGCGTGGAATCGGGAGCCCGTCTGAAACTTGTAAACATTGCCTGATGGGCAGAGAAAGCACTGGTTGAGAAGAGGGACACATGGGATGGTTGCCTGTGACCATGTAAAGGAAAACAGGTGCCTGAGTGACTGAAGTAGGGGCGCCCTGGGTGAGCCGGAGCTGGCAGGGGAGGCAGCCTCCCATGTTCCTTTGGCCTGTGTTTTTGGAATAAGCTCTTGGCCATGTTTGGCTGTCTGGTGAAGCCTGTGTGCCCCTTCTCAGAATCATCATTTTTAGATGTCCAAAGTATAATACCAAAAAAATCATTAGCAGTTATCAAACCAAACCCCCAAACAAGCTGAGTGACATCATCTATGCACTATACTATACTGATGCACTAATAATAGATCTAGTGGCAGGTCTGACACTGCTGTGTTTCAAAGATGAACAGAAGTGATATTTTGAGATATGTACAAATGAGACATGATATGAAAATATCCTCGATTCCTCTTAGAAAAAAACCACAGGGACTAGAGTTTTTGGAAGTTGCAGAATTCTTTTCTGAGTTGGCCTTGGACCTGGACAGCTGGAATCTTGTGGTTATAGTTAAGTCAGGGGTTCCTGAAATGCCCCAAACCCAAGACCTTCCCAGCTCCACAGCCCTGCCTCATCCTACATTGCTATTTATTCCAAGACACTGAGGCTCCAGCTCCAGGAGTGAGGGGCCTCAGTAGCCTGAGGCAAAATCACGAAACTGATTCCTGCAGCTACTGCTCAAAGGACACACCAGCTGTGGTCTAAGAAGTTTTGTGGACTAATGAGGGGACTTGTGGGTGACACCAAACCTCACACAAATAGAAACCGCAGCCTCAAAGGTCCTAATGTGCTGAGATGCATCTTTGGCAGAAGTGGAAATGGGGGAGGTGCGGTGCCGGTAGCCTGCTGCTTACCTTTGTCAGGGTTATTCAGCTGGAAGATGTCCGGGTGCTCGGGGTCATCGGGCAGTTGTACCATCCAGCCCACGATGGAGACCTTCTTGCCAGGTGTGGATTTATACTGAGGGGAGCAACAGAGAGCCGGGAGGCCTACCTGTGCCAGGCCAGCTTCCCTCCCACCCACCCCTGAAGCTCACAGAAGTGCCCTCCACTGGATGAAGTCCAGTGAAGTCCTGGTGTGGGTGTCCTCTCCACCTGACTTACGTGTTTTCTGTCTGTGCCCCGCAAGGACTTGGCTCCATAGTACAGGAGGGTGGATCCTGAGAGTATGACCCAGTATCTGGTCCATGAGGACAGCTACAGAGGAAGGGGAGGCAGAGAGATGACACACGGTGGGGACAGAGTGGCCTGGTCACCACATCAATGCCAGTACAGGTTTCTCTCTTCACTGCCCCCTGCCATACCCCTGGCAATGCCACCTCCACCCAGGAAAAGAGGAGGGGCCCCTCTCTCATTCCCTCATGTGGCCTTCCACCTTGTTGAGGGCAGGGTGGGAGGGAAGCTGAACTCAGGGCCTAATTCCTACATGTTCCATTGACCTAAACTCAGAGGGTCCTGGAAAAAAGCATGTTTAAAATACAGCCATGGGGCTGGGGTTGTGGCTCAGCGGTAGAGCGCTCGCCTCGCACATGCGAGACCCTGGGTTCGATCCTCAGCACCACATACAAAAATAAACAAGTGAAATAAAGGTGTTGTGTCCAACTACAACTAAAAAATAAACATTTAAAATAAAATAAAATACAGCCATGCCAAGCAGTGACCAGAAGAAGCATAACATCTGTAGTGAACGGCTTTGGAGGAGACTGATGCCTGGAAGTGGAAAACCTGCAGGGCCCTGGCGTGGGCCGGCTTCTGTCACCAGCTAGAGGTGTGGTTCCCTGCTCAGGGCACTCTGCTCCTTAGTTTAGGAAAAACCACTCCAGTGGGGGCTTTTGGTTCTGAAAAGGTAAAGCAAATCCCCCACCCTGGAAGGAAGAAGGAGCCAGCTGCTCTGCACCACCGTGCTCAGGCCCCTCCCTGCTGGGTGGCACTGCATCATCATCAAGGGAAAGCAGTGGCTCTCAGACTCTTCACTGGCACCAGAGGGCCCGGCACACAGACAACACGCATGTAAAGAGTTCAAGAAACAGTGCTGATCTCCACTACATATGAGGAACTCTGAGATTTTTTTTTCTATTTTATTCTTTTCTACTCAAAAATCCTGGTCATGTCCCACTGAACTGATTCCATCATTCACTGAGGTGTCATCCAGCATTAGGGACAATGCTGCTTCAAGGACACTGTCTGGTTCCTGCCTGGTAATGACTGAGGCCTGCATTCTTGGTCAGGAGAGAAGTGGGCAGGTTTATACAACAGGACAGACTGAAGTCCCCATGCTGCAGGAGGTGTTGTGACACTGTAGGTCTAAATGATCAGTGTGGCCAGAGCTGGAGCAGAGACTCTCCTCCTCACAAGGCAACTGGCCACTCAAGGCAGGGGCTCCATGGGTACCTGGAGCTGGCAGGTGGGCCCAATAGCCTCACAGTGGATGGCAGTAGGAGGGGGCAAGTCCAGATGACCCTGGCAGTGGACAAGGCCAGAGCAGGACAGGAAGGGCAGAGCAGGTTCTGCCTGGACCTGCAGCTCCTGACGGGCTTGTCAGCAACTTGTCACACAAGGGGCTGATGTTCATGCCACGTGAGGTCATGGAGACCATGACCTCTGGGTCCAGCACAGGAGATGGTGGGGGCCAAAGGCCTCCTGATGCCCTGTGCTTTCCTCCATTAACTTAGGATGCTGCCAGGGAGGAAGGGACTCTGCATATGAGGATGCCACACAACAGCTGATGTGCTCTGGGCCACTCAGCCTCCTGGGTCTCCAGGCTCCCACTTGCCCTCCAGCCCTTTACCACAGCCCCAGCTCACCCATGTGCTCTGCACACAGACGCTCTGCCACACATGGCCTCCAGGAAGGGGCACAATCTGGTCCAGGTTACAGATGTGGAAACTGAGACCCTTGCCCACTTGGTGACCTGGCCAGAGCGGAAGCCTGATTGGCAGGTTCCTAGACTCAAACTGCTCACTGCTATCCACACTGCTGCCAGCAGATGTGCTCCTGACTTACTGCGGGCTTCCGTCCTTCTTTGAGCAGGGTCTTCCTCCTCAGGGGACCCTCCATGGTGGGCACAGCTGCTGAGCTCCCCAGGGTACAGGTACATGGGCTGGTAGGGCTGAGGGGAGACCACCATTCAGACTTGGCCCAAACAGATGAGGCCAGGCACCTTCACTCACGGGGGCCCCTTGGAGCCCAAGGGTGAGCCCATGATGTTCCCAAATGCTAGAGGGCTCACTAGTGCTAGGTCAAGCTGGGGAAGGGAAGGCACAGGGAGCAGAAGGGACTCATGCAGGCTGCAGAGTTCGAGGCTTGGTCACCAGGTGTCGCATAACCCAGCCCCAGCAGCAGCCCACCCTATCCAGAGGACACCTCTGTCACGTCTTCCTCCTGGCTGCTCTGGGGCTCTCCTGCCCATGTGCTTCCTCTACCCAAGGAATGAGGGGCCTTGCAGCCCCAGCTCTGGCAGCCCCTCCTCTCTGTGCTTCAGGAGCACTGGAGGATATGGGAGTGGTGGGTTGCAATGGCAAGAAGGGAAGGGGTCTCCACATCCCAGGCCCCTGGCCCTTTTCTTCCAGGCTTGCTGTGGATCAGGCACCACACATGGGTGATGACATGGGAGGGCATGGTCAGCCCAGCCTTGTCCTGCACTCCAGATCTGCGTGCTTCTGCTCACTGGATATCCCAGGGGCACCTCGCTCTCCTGTGCTTTCCCCCAGCCTACTTGCTGCTCCAGCCAGAAGCCTGGGGTGTGTCTCCTCTTGTGCTCTACAACCTAATCAATTCCAAGCATCTATTGATCCCAGGTCCTAAATAAGTCTCGCTGCCCCATCCCCCCGCCCTCCCCAGCTGCCCCCTGCCTACCCCAGGCCAGTGCATCTTCCTCTGGACCACTGCCCAGGGGCTTTCCCTGCTCTGCTTCCTCTCCACACCAGACCCCTCCTATATCTGACCCCTCCTGCATCCAATGCCTCCCGCCTCCTGCTGCTTTCAAGGGGTAGGTCACCACCTTTGCCCATGCTGGACGAAGCTCCTCCCACTCCCCAGCCTCACCTGTGCCCCCTTGTACAACACAGCCTTTCCTCCACTCAGGTCACCAGCCCTCCTGGTCTCACAGCCGCACCCCAGGCTCTCTCTGGCTGGGAGCACACTCATCACCTGTGTCCCCTTCCGTTATTTGACCAATTCCTATCATTTTTCCAATCCAGATCCCCACCCCTCTCCCCTGGAGCACCCAGCACCTCCTCTGGGATCATCAGTGTGCTCGGTGGAGCACTGTGGAGGCATCTATCTCCTCGGTAGCCTCTGGCACAGAGGTTTGCACCCTAGCTATTTGTTGAGTAAATGAAAAAATGAATAAATGAATACCTGTACACGCAGCTCCGGGTTCTGGGAGAATTCCGAACTGGAACCCTCCAGTTGGGCCCCAGCGTGGCATAGAGACGACCCCTGCTTCGGAGGAAAAGGGGTGAATTTTAGTGACGGCCTGGAAAGACTAGACTTATGAGTACCTCAGATTATGTGGGTCAGCCTCCTCCCCAGGCTCCTCACTCAGGCTCTAAGCATATCCCACCTGCCCACTCCAGGTCAGTGAACACTCACCCCTCAGGGCCTCCATCCAGGAAAGTCCCTAAGCCTCAGGTGATTATTTCATTAACTTTTTATTAATGTTCCCCTTTCCCAGTTACCCCAGTGTGAGGCTGTCATGTTTAATATAGGACGTTACGTGGCCCATGCATCCATGATAGGTCCACGTTCAAGTGCATGCCAGCACAGAACTGTGGGCAGCCTTGCATGTTGGGCCTGGGGCACATGCAGCATCCCCATTCTCCAGGACATAGCTGGATCCTGCTGTTTGCTAAGTCCTCTCCTCTGGATGGCCTCCTCTGCTGGTCCAGCCATCCTTGTCCCTGCAGACTGGTTGGGTGACCTGATCAGCATTCCAGAGCCTGTGAGCCAGGATCTCTCCAGGGCCTCTTGCTGGCATTTCCCTCACCCGTGAACCTTTCCAGGGGAGATGAGCAGCCTCGCCTTCCTCCTTCTGTATCCTTTTCTATTTTAGAGACTCATTCCCCGAATCCACTTGCTGTGCCAGCCTCCTCCTCTCCCCTGCAGGGTACTCCAGCCCTTTCTTTGCCCATGGGCCAGATGACAATGTAGCTTCCTGTATAAAGTCAGACAGGGTCCCTGCTTCTTTTGCAAATGTTCCCCGTCGTCCACGCCAGCCTAGGTACTGGCCCCATGACACTAGCACCTGCGGATTGTGTTGGACACCTTCTCTGCCTGCTGTGGGTACATAGTGCCATCACTGAGCCTACGGCCTCACCCTCTAGCTGAGGACAAATAGTTTCTAATGGCCATCAGGTCCACTCTTCAGGGCCCAAGTTCAGGGCTGACAGAAGTCTGCTGGCCATGTGGGATGGCTGCTCCCCACTTTGACCATCACCCCTCCTCTTCAGGCGATGACATGCCACAGCTTGTGCTTGGGCCTCCAGGTCTTCCATGCAATGGGTCTCTTGATGGTCCCAGGCTGACCCTGCCCTACCATGAGCTGTGGCACAAATGAGAGGCCTGGGATGCCCAACCCCAGCCCTCAGGCTGAACTGCACCTGTCTCTTCCCCTGGTGGAGGGTTGGAACGGTGTGTGCGTGAGATCCTGCAGAGGACCTGTGGCCAACTCTCGTCTGCTAACAGAGGAAGCGCAGACTCACAGCTGAGTGCAGCAGCTGCACAACAGGTCTCAAGCCTGTGCCGCAGGGTGCTGCTTAGGGACAGCAACAGGTGGGCCGCGGGGCCGCTCTCCTCCCCAACCATCACCCTGAATGTGTTTTGATTAGGGTATGACGACGAACATTCGTACAGTGTTGTCCTTTGTGGGTGTGTCAGCTGCCAGGGAAGTCTCTTCCTCAGATCTGGGCTCCCACTCAGAGCTGCAGCCTGTCTGGAGTCAGGGATGGCGCTGCCTTCCCAGAGCTGGTCCTTTGGCCCTTCTGTCTGCCCACTTCTCATGCTCTAGGACAGTGAATGACAATAGGACTGTCCACAGCCACCAGCTGATTCTCAGGGCAGACAGTGCTGCCACCTTCCTGCTGTCGTTCTTCCTGCTTCTGTGAGGCAGCCTGTGGCTGTGTCTTCCACCGATGGCTTTTGCTGATGGACAGGCTGAGATCGGCATCTTGCAGCCACCTGGCCCTATGAGCAGTCCTTCCTCAGGCCCTTGGGAGTGGGGAGTCCAGCATGCAGGGCATGGCAGGATAGGAGTCACCAGGGGGTGGTGCTATCCTGGGCCAGGTCTTCATGCTAACTCCTGGAAGCTTCGTTTAAGCACCATTATTCCCCCAATGAGGCTCAGCAATGTGAAGCTACCAGATGGTGGCACAAGTCTCATCAGCCAGGATGTGAACCCAGATCTGCCAGAGCCATTCAGGTGTAGGGAGAGGCAGAGGGGCCATGGTAGAGCCTACGTGGGCCAGGTCCATGGCTAGTCCGTGTGAGGCCTTCTTGGCATTCTGTTCACGGGCACGTCACTGTGGTCTCCCTTGTGGCTTGCACTGTGATTGAGGTGTGTCAGCGTCTGTGAGGCTGTGTGGCCACCAAGTTCTTAGGCCTGAGGATCTCCTGGGCTGGGGCACCTGCCAGGGCCCCTGTCCCTGGGCTTCCAGGATGAGTATTCTCCTGGGGCTTTGGCTGCCAGCTGCTTACTTCTAATTAAGGGCTTCCACCAGGAATCACCCGACCCTGCAGAGGGGCACAGTTCTCCTGCCTGTTTTAGATGAGGACACTGAGGCTCAAGGAGAAGCCAGCCTTGTCCCACCCTGCTGGCCTGTTATCAGATGTGGAAAAATGAGTGCTCAGAGAAGGCCGTCTTGACATGTGGGCGAGGTCTGCCTGAGCCGGTCTCGCTGCTCCCGACTGTGGAAGCCACGTCCTGCTCTCCCTGGAGCTGGGGATGGCCACACCAGGTCTGGAAGGGCAGCAGGATGGTGACCTTTTTCCAGGGCCAGCTCTGAGGGATGGTGGCCAGCCTTCTGTCCCTGCAAGCTGTAGGAGGCAGCATTCCAGCTGGCCTGGTAGGCTGGCACCTCACAGCCAGGAGCCCTAGTCACAGGAGCCAGACGGCCTGACCCCCTCCCTGCTCTGAAAAGACTTGTTATGTGGGTGTTCAGGGCAGAGCTGCAGGATGAGGGGGCAGTGGTATCTGGTAAACCACAGAAATCATGGGATTTCCCATGGGGGCTCCCACTCCAGAGCCAGAGGCACCTTTCCTACCATCATTCTTGGGACATGTGGCTCAACACAATGTGTCCTCAGAAGGCCAGTTGGACTGTCTGCTCTCCAGAACAGAGCTGAGGGTGAGGGGTACAAGCAGGCAACTGAGGGGGTGCATGGGAGGTTTTCTCTGGGGAAGATGCAGGCTGGAACCAGGGGAACTCCTTCGTCCCACGGGGCTGGAAAAATGACGATAATGTCATGCTGGTGATGATGGTGGTGGTGGTGGCAGCAATGGAATGGTGGGTCCAGGCGACATGCTCAGCAGTATTCGTTCCTTATCCCACGATCCTACAACACTGTGAGGTGGGCACTGGGATCCCTGCCTCACAGATAAGGAATCTGAGGCTCTGAGAGGAGGAGCCACTTGCCCAAGGTCACAACACAAAGAAGAGGAAGCATGGGCAGGCTGTTGAGGTGGCAGCAGCTGGGGCACTCAGACTGGCTAAGGCATTGTTTTCTAAGTAATGATTAAGCTGTAGTTATCACGAGGGTTAAAGCTTGAGCCCTTGCTGCCAGTCTAGGGAGCAGAGGAGTCGAGAGGAGCCTTGGATCAAGCCACTGTGAGGCCTCAGGAATCTTGGTCATAGCAGAGGTAGGCTCCCCACCCTGTCTCAAGTGCATAGAACCTGGGGAGGAGTGCACCAGAGTGGTGTACCCCCAGCAGGGCCCAGGTGCACTGCTCATCAACCATGTTGACCTCACAGGCAAACCCTAGACTGGAGTCCAGGCCCATCAGGCATGGCTCATCCGGGCCACTGTCTAATGGTCTCCCTCACTGATAGGCAGGAAGTGCTACCCTGAACTCTGCTGGGCCCTGGGACAGCCCTTTTTGCAGCACTTTTTGAAGGACACTTGCTCTCTGTGAGCCACCTGTCCTTCCTTCTCTGGGAGATGTCCCTATTCACTGGGTAGTTCCCTAGGAGCCACACTGACTACATGTCTCCATTCCCTGGATAACTGAAAGGACAGAACAACAGGCAAATCCAAGCCAGATTTTTCTCTGCTGGCAGTTAGGAACTAGATCAGAGAGGCTGGGCATCAGGTTCAGTGGCTGGGTGAAGCTACCACACATAACCTGGGAGCTGTGAGCATCCATCCTCCCCTCTGGGCAGCGAGAAGTCCAGAAATCTGGTGTGCAGGGCCGGGGGGACAGGCAGAGGGGAGGATAGACACAGGCAGGACAGTCCTGTTCACCTTCTAGGTACCAGCTATGCAGGAGTTGTGGTGCTAGACAGAGGAGCCATGGGCAGAGTTTTCTCAGTTTCTGTGAAGCAGCGGCTGGCCTGGCCTGGCCCAGCCTTGACTGCTCTAGCCAAGGACAGAGTCAAGTGTAAGCCTTTGGAACCAGGGGATCAGCAACTCCTGCCACTCCTCTCTCAGAGGAGCCTCACTTGCCAGGCTCTAGATTGGGAGCTAAAGGGGTGAAGCAAGAGATGGCACCTTTTGGGGGAAACCAGTCAAGAATTTGGCAAGTCACCCAACAGGGCTGCCACGCTAGGGGCTGGGCAGAGTAGCCTGATCCAAAGTCCAAGGATGAACCCAGGGAAACTGGACCTTGGGAAGGGCTAGCAGCAATGAGAGCTGGGATCCCAGGCCTTGGGCACAGGTATGGGGCAGAGGGCATGAGGTCATTGTGAGTCACCTGAGCATGGCCACTCACACAGCTACGTGGCAGCCGAGGGGACCCCTCATTCCAGATCTTGGCCTAATTATTCTGAAATACTGCAAAGTATGGATCTGCAGAGGCACCTGTGTCCTGGAAAAACCGGGGCATTGTCCAGAGTCCTCTGACCCCAAGAAAGGAAATGTATACTTTTAAAACTGTGTGGGGTCGCCAGGCATGGTGGTGCATGCCTGTAATCTCTGTGGCTCATGAGGCTGAGGCAGGAGGATCAAGAGTTCAAAGCCAGCCCCAGCAACATTAGCAAGGCCCTAAGCAACTCAGTGAGATCTTATCTCTAAATAAAATATAAAAAGGGCTGGGGATGTGGCTCAGTGGTTGAGTGCCCCTGGGTTCAAACCCTGATACCAAACCAAATCAATCCAAACAAAAAACTGTGGGGTAGCAGGTGTGGTGACCTGTTGCAGCCCTCCATGACTCCACTCTCCATGTGTCTCCCTAAGGGTGGCAGGCAATTCTGTGAGCTAAGCTCATCAGGAAACCTCACACAGAGCATCTCTCACCCTCCTTGCTACCCCTAGGGATGCCAGGGTCAACTGCCTGCAGCACCCTTTAGAGGGCCCTCCCACGAGGCAGCACCACCCTGAAGACCAACAAGGGCTGGTGAAAACTTGACTTCATTCCAGTCTGCCCACCCACCTCGACTGAGATGCCACTGGGGGAGATTCTGCCCAGCCTTGGCCTGGGTGGCATGCTTGCTAGCAGAAGGCACCTATTTGGGGGAAGCTCTGGAAAGTCCTGTGTGCCATGCTTACTCTGCAGTTCCCAGCGCACAGCCAAGGAACTGAGGCTTAGAGGCCAGGGGGTCCCCGGGAGATGGAGAGCATAAGTGGCCCTGACCTCAGGCCCTGTCTCTAAATAATATATAAAAATAAATATACATTAGGGACTCTAGAGAGCAAGACATGTCTCAGAACCCACCCGTCCTGCATGAGACCTCTAGTGGTCTCCTCAGAGCTCACAACCTCCTCAGGCCCCAGGACCCCCTTGAGGGCTCACCAAGGTCATCTTCACCAAACGCCCTTAGGCCTCTGTTAAGCCCATCACATCCTCCAGAAGTTACCCTAAACCTACAACCAGTGCAGGTCCCCCCGGACACCGGCCCCACTGGATGGCCCCAGTGCTACAGTGGCCCCTGGCATATGGCTTCTTTAAGGCTCCATGAGCCCAGACTCCCTCCCTGCATATCCCCACCCCTGCTGGGAGGGAAGAGGACCCTCTGCTTCAGAGAAGCTGAGTGCTGCCCACTCCTGCCCTCTTCCCTGTCCCCCTAGAGGGGCTTCCCTCTGGTAGCTGGGTCTCTGAGGGCACTTCTTTTCTCCTGGTTCTCCCTTTACCCTATCATGGCTCATCTCCCACATGAGAAGCCCCTTCACCCCCGTGGGTCTCAGGAAACGGTTGCCGAGGGCTTTGTGGTGAACTCAGGGACACACCTTCATATTTTGCTTCTTAAAACTGGTCAGAAATCATCTCTAATGATATCTTTAGAAAGCTAAGTACTAATTATTTTTCTGAGTAGAAAAGAAAGATTTGGCCATTGTGGAAAATCTGGAGAATATCAGGTGAGACAAGGGACAAAAGTCTCTCAATAACCTACAACCCAGAGACAATTAAGATGAATGAGATGGTGCATGTTTGCACACACCCACGTGTGTGCATGATTCATTTTGTTCCTTTTTAAAAACAAACCTCTTTTAGGATAAGCTGACCATGGGGACAATATTCTTGCTCTCACCTTAGTGCCAACACCTCCCTCTCCAGTCAGACACACAGGGCCTGCCCCACTGCCCGCCTGACTGTTCGGCCCTTTCCCTTCTTCACTTCCCTGAGCCTGAAGGTGGCTGGAGCCCAGACCAGTGTGAGTCCCTGGCCCCCACTCTCCAGCTCATTAGGCCCAGGTTGAAAATGTCTTTCAAGGACACCTCCCCACTCCGTGGGCTGCGGGGCTCTCATTCTACCTGTGGCCCCATGGGTCAGGGCCGACTGGTATAGTCACAGAGAAAAGCGGCCCACCCTTGCCCTGCTCCCTAGTGACAAAGACCATGGCTCAGGAACACCCCCTGGCAGTCCTTCTGGGCCCTGAGGATAGGGTCAGGCCTTTGGGGCAACCAGGGACTGAGGGATGACCCACTGACCCCTGGCTACTGCTCCTCCCCAGCCCCACAGGCCCATGACTTTGCTAGGGCTGACATGGAGGAGGGGACACAGGGTGGGGAGCACAGAGGAGGGTGTCTTTTGCTCCCTGTCTCCTTACTCCACAGTCCCAGAAAGAGCAGGTACAGTGCCTCTACAGTGGTCCATGGCTCCCCAGGCACAGGTGGGAGTTCTTGAAGCCAGACATTTCAGGAACACAGCGAAGTGTGGCCTGGCCTCTGACTGACACCGAGGACCACCTTTGAGCCCTTCACTGACAACATCCATGTGTGTAGACTTGAGGAAGGTAAATTCACAAGACCATGTCAAATGATTTCCCTTTTGGCACACAATGGGAGTTCTCCTGCTCACCTGTTTATGGTGGCATTAATGGTGATTTGGATGTACTTTTGAAGCTGTGTGTGGTAGGGGGTCTCTGGCTTGGGGCCTCTTTGCCTTTTACTTGGTACCTGGCTCCATTTCTCTCCCTAGTCCAGGCCAAGTCTATCACCAGGCCTGGGGTGCTGGGGGACTTGGGAGCTGGTCAACTGAATGTCATGGTTCCTGAATTTCAGAGCGACAGGTCAAAATGCTGCTCCCCTGCTCTAGCCAGACCCCTTCCTCGCTCTCACCTTGTTATTCTGAGTGGGCCAGAGTGGACACCTAGACATCAACTCCTCTTTAAGAGGAGGAACTTGCAGTCTGGGGAAAACTGGGAATGGAGGGAGGACCCGCTAAGCACTGGCTACCTGAAGATAAGCAGTAAAGGGACCCAGGTGGTGACACACAACTGTGAGGGAACAGCAACATGGAACAAGGATGTTCAAGCTGTGAGAGGAAACTCTTCCCCTGGAGCTCAGGTGCTCTCAAGGAAGCAGGAGCAGAGGATGGTACAGGGTAGAAATAGGGAGTGGTGGCCTGGCCACCAGGGCTGGAGAGTGGGAACAGCTGGCACCTGAATCATCAAGCTTGCATGAGGTTGGGACATCATAACTCCACTGGCATCTCCTGAAGCAAGTGGACTCCTGTTCCCCACAGCCAGGAGGGTTTGGCCAAGAGCTAGGTCACAAGACAATGAGAAACAGGTCACCCTCCCTGCAGGGCAGTTTGAGGGCCCTGGAGGCAGGGCTGGGTATCTGTGTGGATACACCAGCTGGGAGCCAGTGCTCAGAGGAGATACCACCCAAAATGCACCTGCTATGGACATTCGATGGATAGTGACTGAGACGCTGTAAGATGCTGCAGCCCATAGCGCTCACCACCCCGGCCAGGACCTGCACCTTCCTCCCTCCTAGCAGCTCTGTCTCTGCTCAACACCCCTCAGGGTGGCCCACCGTCAGCAACCAGTGAGGGTTCTGGCAGGGAGTCGTTGCCTAAACAGCTACTAAATGAATAAATGAGTGGATGGAGGAATGAGCCAGTGAAGGAATGAAGGAAGGAACTGGGAGGTTTCTGTGGTGCTATGCTGGACCTTGGCCCTGTGCCAGTTTCCTGTTTGCTGTCTTCCCATTGGCCTGTGTCTAGGGGAGATGCTGGCTTGTGTGTCATCCTGTTTATCAGGGTGTCCCCAGGAGTTTCTGACTGAGTGACTGTTCTGGAATATGCCTCTTGGCCCCAGGCTCTCCTTTCCAATGGCCAGGGTGGGTTGCCTGAGCTCCCCAAACTGGAACAGAGCAAATGTCCCTCCAGGAGCCCTGTGGGGAAGGCAGAGAGAGAGCCTCTGAGTGTGCATGGCCTCCTCGCTCCCTCTCCCTGCCCCCATCTTGGGGCTCACAGACACACTGGGTGACATTGGGCCAGTCCCTATAGCTGTCACTGCCAGTCTTCAGGCTAGATGGTGGGGCAATGAAGAGGGGGTCCTCGATAGCAGGAGGGTTTGGATTAGGGTCATCTCTGCCATTATCAGATGAGTGTGAAGCGGGCATGTCACCTCATCTCTCTGCATGCTCCATACAAAATGGGGACAGCACACATGCTGCTGTGGGGAGCACTGAGGCTACGTGAGTCCACATACAGGTGGGGCCCAGGGGTGGCGGCACCTGGGGAGTGCCAAGCACAGCTCCTGACCATGACAGCCCCTCTGCCTGGAGGAACAGCTGGATGGGAGCGACCTTCCCTCTGATCTTCCTTTATGATCATGGGGGCTCAGGCAACAGAAGCTTCAGCATCAGAAGCGGCGTGTGTGTAAGTTGTGTGCACTCACATATGTGTGTGTGGTGCAGTTGCCCACATACACGTGGAAGTGTGTGAGTGTGCATGTGTTTGTGCATGCACACGTGAGTGCACATGGACAAGTGTCTGAGCTGTGAGGATGGGCAGGGTGTGCAGATGCGGGTGGGAGTGTGACTGTGTGTGCAGATGTGAGGACACCGGGGAGAACTCTGTGGCAAAGCCCCTGGATGCTGGTGGGGGACCCACCCTGAAGGACAGTGAAGGCCTACCTCTCTAGGACATTCTTCATCACTGGATTTCCTCCTGCTGTCCTCAGACCTTGTGTCACCAAGGTGACTTTCACCTTCAGCAGCACTGCAGACACCCATTAACAGCTTCCTAGTGGTCCCAGAGCCCTGCGCTGGCCCAGGAAGCCTGGGTGTGTGGATCATGTGGGTGATCTCCTGAGTGGGAGGCTGGACACCTCGGCAGACAGGCTCTGCACGGGAAGCCAAACCATGTGCCAAGGGAGCCAAGAGGGTGCGTGGCAGGGGTGGCCTCTTCACTGTCACCAGTGCCCAGTAGGGTGGTATTCAGTAAATGCCAGGCCCAGGGTCCAAGGACGTGTGGGTGCAATACTCTTAGAGTCCACCAGGCGGAGCCACGAGCCCATCTCAAGACTAATCAATTCTCCAGCTTCCAGTTTCAAGAGCTCGCATCGCAGACCTGGTCTGCTGTGGGTCTCCTGTGGCTGGGCTGGAAGAAGTGCTCCTGGGGCGACTCCAGGACCAGAGGAGGAGTGGAGCTACACAGCGTGCGGGGGGGGTCAGGACCTCCACACACTCCTGCTCATTCCAGCTGATGAGCCACAGGCCACCCAGCAGAGGCACAGCAGTGGGGCAGGGCTGTCCCTGCCAGAGCCTGTCTCCAGCTCCCTGGGGCCTGAGGTGGGATAGGAGGGAGGCTGTGCTGAGGCCACACTCACCTTTCCAGCCCTGAAGACATCTCTTCACTAAACTCTGAGCTCTCACTACTGCCTGGAAAAGGAACACAGATGAGTGAGTGCAGTGGCCTCGCAGAGAGGGGGCTGTCTCCCAGGTCACTGGGCACAGGCCCCTGAGCTCGCCATGGCTTCCAGTCTGTGGGCAACAACCTGATGTGAGTTTTTGCTGCTATTTTTGGCTCTGATCTGGGAGGGCTGAAAGAACCATCCTGTTCCACTGTTCCGCAGGCGGGGCTTCCGCTGCCTTCCCACTGCCTGCCCTCAGGCCTCCCTACTGGTTCAGGGGACGCAGGGCTGGCACACCCTTACCTCACAGAGGCCATATGAGCACTTCTACCTGCAAGGTCAGGGCTGAACTAGATGCTAGTCAGTGTGGCTGACTCACATTGGCCTGAAGTCTTGAGGGAGTGCCCCTGCCGACCCCTGGCCATGGAGAGAGAGACAAGGTCTGGACTGTGCCCCTGTACCATGCTTGTCCTCCCTGTGGGCCTGGACCTGGGTCTGACTGGGACACCCTGCTTCTGTACAGACCACGGGAGCCTCTCCAAGGAGAGATTTTTTTCCTGTCACTCAAGCATCCACACATCATGCTCTGTACTTTCTCAGACTTCAGATGCTCTGAGGGTCGAGCTCTTTGCCTGAAAGAGCACCTAGCCAAGCAGCTGGAAGGAGCAAGGAAGAGTCCTTGGCTCTCATGTGGAGGGTGGAAAGATGGACAAGCCTGCTCCAAGCAGGGCACGTGCACACGTGGCCACTTACTCAGGGACTTTCAGCCCCAAACAAAAAAACATTTTGAGTTCCCTGACTTGAGGAGCCAGAACCAAACAACCTCGTGATCTCCCCCTGGACGCTGGACAGCACAGCACCTCACTCATCTTCTGCCTCAGGAAGAGCAGGCCTGTGCTCAGGCACCGCTCCGACAGTTTCCTGGATGTCAAACAGCTGTTCTGGGCCCAGCTGAATACTCTTGGGCCTGCATTTGCCAGAGCGTGCTCCTCGGAACCCCTCTCCTGCCACACACTTCAAGGAAAAGGGGTCCATGAGTGGAGTCTGGGAACCCATAGGCTCTGAGGGGTCCCTGTGAGGGGTCACAATGCTGATGAGCATAGTAAGGTCCCTGGAAGAGCCTGCTCGCCTTGTTTAACTGGTCTTTCCTGGCACATGGCCAGAAACCTTCTTTCAAGGCACACCTGTGAGCGGGGATGCACTGTCCTGAGCTCTCCTCCATCCCTGCCCGCTTCCAAACAGGACGACCTCCTCCAATGACAAGAGGCAGACACAGCTTGCTTATCACAGACTTCTGGGGATGGGAAGCAGCTGACCCCTGGACTGACACGGCCGCAACCTGAGACTGCCCTAATTCCCGAGTTTGCGGGACGCCAAAAGTCCTGCCTGGGTTTCCTGTTGCCTCCCCTTGCTCCTGGCCCACTGTCCTATAGTCTTTGCCAGATCAACTCTCTGTCCCACCAGACCTGAGAGAACTCCCTGATAAGGGAAGCAGACAGACACACAGATACACTGGCCACAGAAGCACAGGCACGCACAGGCACACTGAAAGGCAAGGGCCATTGGAGAGGGCACTGGTCTGCTGGCAGTAATGACAAGGGGCGTCCACCTTGCCTTCAGCTAACCTGGGCACCAGGAGGATGGCTCTGTGACTAGAGCTCAAGACTGGCCTCAGCCCTACTTCTGTGTCCCCTGCCCCGACACAGAATCAGCAGTACGATTTCTGTCCCCTCCATTGATATGAGCACCATCTCTGGCTGATGCTCAGTGGTGCAATCTCATCCCTGAAGACCACATTTTTGTCCTCCTTCATTTGGTTTCTCAGCATAAAGAGAAGTACCCAACTGACTACCCAGTGGCCCATCCAGCTGCCACCCCAAGCAGCTTGCTTTGCTTTGCCCTGCAGTGTCCCGACTGTAGCTCTGCCTGGGACACAAGTGCTAAGGCAGCAGCAGCCAGGCTTTGGGCGTTGACAAGGACTCAAGCGTGTGCTCAGCTGCTTCTTCCACCTGCCCACCACACTCAGGGCTACTAACAGCAGGGGGACATTGGGGCTCTTCCTGAAGCCCTGGAGGGTAGGAAGTGGAGGCTTCCTGGCTCCAGGGGATTTCTGCAGGGAGCCACCTCTGGAAGGGTGAGGGGCATTGGGTTCCCTGGAGCAAGGTGCTACTGGGCGTGGCACAGTGACAGAGACAGACACAGAGCACACGCCGGGCCTGTGGCCCCCTGCCTGTGGTGTGCAGGCTGGAGCGCTTACCTAGGGAGAGTCCATTGGTGACAGCGGAGGAGGTGAGGGTGAGGCCCTTGCGGGGGCTGCGGGACTCTAGGACACTGTCGTCCAGAAGGTGCCTGGCTTTCTCCGATGGAAATGTCGCACTTTTACTCTCAACTACACTCAACTGACACATCATACTGGAAATGGAAAGGAAGAAAGAAGGCAAAGCTCCTTATCTGCAGGGTAATGGTGGCTGCACCTGCTCTGGGGGCGGGAGTCCAGAGTGCAGCCGCAGGAATAGGCTCTGCCCAGAGCTGCGGACAGTACGGCCCTCTCATGGCATGAACTTGGGCAAGTCACATCCTTTTCCAGAGCCTCAGTTTCTCCATCCATCTACGGCGACTAACACTGCTTGCCCTGCCTGTCTCTCAGGATGAAGATGAGGCTTGTGAGTGATGAGGCCGCGCGAGGGAGGCGCAGTGGGCGTGGCCAGCATGGCTGATCTGGAGTCACCAGCACCTGGCCCGGTCCTGGCTCCAACACTTCCTCACCATTGCAAGGGACATCACCTTGTGACCCTCACTGGACTTATTCTTACAGCATGCATAATAATAGCAGAGGCCTGCGTGGCTCTCAGTGACCTCGGCCTCTCAGGTGTGTGGCAGAGCATCTATGGAGGGGAAGGAAACGCCAGGTACCCAGAGAGCGACCCTCTCCTCCCTCAGCCCCGGAGCTCCTCCAGGCTGGGCTGGGACCGAGCCTTAGTGGTAGAAGGAAGGAATGTAGGGAGGACAGAAGGTGGGCGGGTGGGAAGGAGGAGACGGGAAGAAAGCAGGCAGGAGAGAGGGAGGGAGGGAAGGATGGACCCATCTCACCAGGAGTCTGTGCCCAATGCCCAGGGGACACAGGCATGACTGTTCGCAGTCATGCTGAGGACCTACACTTCCCCCAGCTGTCGGCCTCATAGGACAGTGAAGAAGATGCTATGAGGACAGAAAACTGCTCTGAGGACAGTCGCTGGTGTCGGCCTAAGTGAGTCGATGACTTCGGGCATGTTCTCTGGAATCCCACCATTGCTCCTCTGTCCTTTCTCCATTAGCCCAGAGTCTGGGACCCCTGTGAATGGCACAGACTGTGCCACCAGGGGCTCTTTCTGAACCCACACCAACCTCAGGAGAGTTGGCTGGCCACAGACCCCAAACCCCCAGGATGAGGTGGGGAGAGGCCCATCGGGCAGGGCTCTCCCAGCATTTCTGCAGCCATGCCTGCCAATGCAGGCCAGTCTGAAGGCCGGGGAAGGGCTATGCAGTCACCCACTTGTTGCCCAGGCTGTGGCTCTTCCTGTGTCTGGGGACTGGTGGCGTGGGCAGGCTGCCGGCCACAGACGCATCAGGACAGGTGGGCCTCCGTCGGAACCTCACCGAACTGGAGCCTGCAGAGGGGCCTGTGAACAGAGCAGAGGGAGGGCAATGGGAGTGGGTGGGGTGGTGGCTCAGGGATGGGAAACCCAGGTTTGGGGTGAGGCCCTGGCCTGGCTGTCCACATGCACTTGGGCCTTATAGCTCCTACTGGTCAGATGCTGACTTTTCCCTCCCAATGTCATTGACTCCCAAGGCTGATAACCCACTGCCAGGATGGCCTGGGTCCCCCTGGGCACAGGGCCCACTGGATATCTGATGTCTCAATTCCTGCTTCCAGGTGGCATCTGACAGACCAATCCATAAAAATGGAACTAGGGTAGCATGACCCTAAAGCAAAAGTTCTTGGCCTTGACTTTGCAGAGCCAGAGGGGTCTAGGGAAGGCCTGTTAGTTGCGGGGACTGAAACTACATCTAAGCTTCTGTGCATTTTATTGGCAAGGGGATCCAGCTGGTAGGATGGATCTTTAAGGCTTTCGTTCTTAACCAGGGGATGTGTCAGAACCACCTGGAGAGTGTGGGCTGTCCCTGAGGGCCTTGTGTTCTGCATAAGCTCTGCAGTTGACCCTGAGGCACCCCTGGGGAAGACCCTCTGCTTTAAATGCTGGGACCCAGGCAGGCTCTGTGTGGGGGGAAACAACTCGTGCAATTACTCCAAAGAAGAAGAAGAATGAAAACCATCCTGCTGTGTTTTGCTTTTGCAGTATTGCTGGAGAAGAATCCAGAGGGTGGAACTGCCTTGTTTATCAGCAGCCGTGTGAGGATTACAGTCCCACTGCCTGAGTCACTCAGCTCCCACCCTGGTGCACAAAAGTGGTTTCTAAAGGTCAGGCTGCACTGCTGCTCCTCCCTCTGAGGTTTAAGTGGAAGCTTAGCGACCCTGGAATGGAGCAGAAATGATAACGATGCTAACTGATTTGGCGCTGTAACCTGGTGCAGTGCTGGGTGCCAGTCTGTCATGCTGCAGGTGGGCACACTGAGCAGACCAGAAGGTGGGGCTTCCAGAGCTGCCACCTGCTGGAGGCAGGACTGAACCCAGGCGTGAGGCTCACTGGACAGAACACAGGGAGAGACTGTATGAAGGATCTGGGGAGCAGGTGACACTTCTCCAGGAAATTTGGAATGGGTAAGCCCAGTCACTGCACTTAGGAAGGAAGGGGGAGGGCCTGGTGCCCACTGTGCACTAATGAGCTGGCATTGTCCATGTCCTGGCTCGCGGACTCGCTGACTTCTCTGAAGTAGGTTCTTTTGTCATCGCCACTTTAGAGGGAAGATCAGAGGCACACCAGGGCCCCAGGCTGGAGAGTGCTGCAGCCTCCGCTGGTTGCCTAAGGCCTGCCCACTCTTGCCTGGCTCCTTCTCACTGGGTCCTGCTGTGCACAGGGCCCCACTGACTGGGCAGCCCCATTGGCTGTCTGATGTACCAATTCCTGCTTCAGGTGGCATCTTGAGAACAGAATCTGATGGACCACAGAATCTGTGTAACAACAGAACCACAATAACCTCTGCATGTAGTTCCTGCTTGCTGGCTGGCTTCCCACTTTGAGTTCTCCAGAACTCTGGACCTGCTTCCGTCTCTTCTACTCAACTCTCTACCCTCCGTCCAGGACTAGGCCCGGATGTGCCCCCTCCCCTTTCTGCTCTGGAGTATTGGGAGGCATGCCTGGCCTCAGATGCCCCTCAACCAGCTGGGGAGGGTGGGCGGGGGCCCCAGCGGAAGAGCCCGTAGCCTCCTGGGCCAGTGTCAGAGCTGATCTGCTCTCCCAGCATTGGGTTGCGGCCACTCCCCCGCCCCCTGCATTGTTGACCAATAGCCTGAGTCTGACATGGAACCAGAAGAATTTCCATTCAGCTGGGACCCAGATGGGGGGGGGCTTTCTGCCAGTAAGTGACACCCTCTGCTACTGAAAGGCCTCACGTTCCTGCCTCACCAAGCCTGGGGTGGCCCCCACGTGACAGTGCCAGGGTCACTTGTTTTCTGGTGCTGTTGTAGAGCTGGGCAGCTGGCAAGTTTGCTTGCCCCGTCCTCGGGCAGGGGAAGGGGCAGGATGGGGGTGATGATAATGAGCTGGGGTTCTGCACTTCATAGCAGAGTGCAGTCCCTACTGCCCAGCCTGATATGGCACGGATGGCTGGAAAAACTGACCATGTGGCTTGACTATCTCAGAGGATTGCTCTATTTTTCCTCAGCATAATTTTTCCATGAATAATCTTTAAAGCTCTTTAAGTGGCTGTTTCTTTAGCAGTTTTATTGGAACAAATGAGAACTGACAGTCTCTGTGGGGAACGAGATATTATGTGTTGAAGAAAAAGATCTGGTTTTCATTACATTTCTCTCAAGAAACCAAAACATTGTCCAAAAGACCACTCATTGATTAGAAGAGAAAAAAACCACAGGGCCTTCTAATAATGGCCTTGGAGTGGTTGGGGTAAAGGACAATGAACACTGATGACAAAGGACTTGGGATCCGGAGGTGGCCAGGCCTGGACTCCCACCTGTATCTGCACTTCAGGCTGAGCAAGGGTCTTGGGCAAGTCACCTCACCCCTTTGAGCCCTCAGGCTACATCTACAAAACAGGAATGGTGATCCTGTGCCCGCAGCCTCCCCGGGAGGGGTCAACCACACAGTAACCTGCCTTCTGCTCCCATAGATGTTTACTGCTCCCTGACCTAGGGGCTGCCTCTGGGCCAAGCACCAGAGCTACAAAATGGATTAGAAAGATGATGTTCTGCTTTTATGGGATTGGGAGTCAAGTGTGGGAGAGGTAACTGAACCCAGGAGAGACTCCTGCTTTGACAGGAGAATGAGAATAATCAGTGCAGCAGGAGCATCATCTGTACCAGGAGTGAAACACCACCACCGTGATGGTAACGGTGCTAAATGCTAACATTCACTGAGCACTCCTGAGGTTCCCGAACCCAAGATAAATGCTTGGTTCACAGCATCTATTTATTGCAACAACACTGTCATGCAGGTACTATTGTTATCTCAATTTGACAACGTGGAATCTGAGGGTCAGAGGGTTCAATAACCTGCCCAGTTGAGCAGCTGGCGAGTGGGAGAGCTCTGGCTGCTGCATTTGAGAACCCAGAGGGAGGACCAGAGAATCCTGGAAAATCTAACATCCCAGCTGTTGCAAGAAGAGCTCCAGCGTGAGCAGCGACGGAAGCAGAAGGAGCTGCGTGTGCAGACTCAGGTGACGGCAGGCTCCAAGGAGCCTGGAGATTCCCCAGGGGAAGGTGCTCTGGCGCCCTTAGACTCCCACCCTAGGAAGCCCCTGCTGGCTGGAGAGCAACTGGATGTGGCCAACTTGAGGCTGCAGGTGGGGTGGAGAGGTGTGGCTGAGAGGTATCCAGGAGGCGGCCAGGTAGAGATGTAGAGGGAGGGAACCCGGAGTTACCCTCCTGGAGTGGTGCCCTGCACTCAGGGGGAGGTTTGAGGGATAGTGAGCAGGCCGTGTGGGGCTGGTGTCTGGAGGCCACTGGCTGGCCTCACATGGCTGCTGAGGAGGGCCTGCTCTGGGCTGGGGAACCTCTTTCCCACGGATTTCAGGCTGCCTCCGAGTGCTGCCCTGGGCCAGCGCTGTCCTATTCCAGTCTGCTTGAGGGGCGCCTTCCAAGTCTTGCACATCGGGAATTAATGGGAGGCAGCTGTGACAGAGAGGAAACTACTTAACTTGGAGTCACAAGGCTTGGGTTCCAGTCCCGCCTGAGTGACCCATCTGAATGGGAGGCTCTTCCAAAGCGTGTCTTTCCTCACTGGAGGAGGAACGACCATGTGCTACTGGGAGCTCCTGCCAGCACCGTCCCGGCTTCTGGAGTGCAGGGCGGACTTCTGCCCAAGTGAAGGCTCAGTGTCCTCTGTTTCCTGCTTGCCTGAGTAGATAGTCCTGTTCCCAGACTGAGGACTTGGGCCCTTCTGGGTCTGCCAGAGCCCCGTGGCTCTTAGGGATGCTGGACCTCTTACACAGAAAGTCTCTGAGTGGGTGGGCTGGGGTTGTGGCTCAGTGGTAGAGCCCTCGCCTAGCACATGCAAGGCCCTGGGTTTGATCCTCAGCACCACATAAAAATAAATAAAATACAGGTATTGTGCCCATCTATAACTAAAAAATAAATATTAACCAAAACGAAAAAAAGAAAGCCTCTGAGTGGGTTTCATGGAGAGGTCTGGGAACTGATCACACACATTTACTTCCACATACATTTTGTGTTTCTCAAACATGCAGCTCTCACAGGTCCTTGCTGCAAGCCAAGATCAAGCTTATACACCACACAGAAGGCCACTTCATTTCCTCTTGAAAACAGCATCCAATCACCCCTCGACTGGGCTTAGGTTGTGGCCTGCTCTCTGCACAGACAGAAGGTGCAGACTCCCAGGCCACAGGGAGCCAGGGGAGCCTGGTACCTGTGTGCCCCTAGCAGGACAGTGAGACTGGGCAAAGTGGGCTTGAGTCTTGGCCCCTCTGTTTTTTTTTTTTTTTTTTGGTGCTGGGGATTGAACTCAGGGGCACTCGACCACTGAGCCACATCTCCAGCCCTATTTTGGATTTTATTTAGAGGCAGGGTCGCACTGAATTGCTTAGCACCTCATGGTTGCTGAGGCTGGCTTTGAACTCACGATTCTCCTGCCTCAGTCTCCCTAGCCGCTGGGATTATAGGCATGTGCCACTGCGCCTGGCTTGGTCCTTCTTCTTGACGTTGACATGACCAACTCCCAGCCCGTGAGCTCCTTGTGTGGAAGCCCTCCGCCATTCAGAAGACAGAAAAGGTTTCCAGAGGGAGGAGGCTCTGGAGGGAGGCAGGCCCTACCCCATCCCTGGGCTGCTCTCTTCCTCATCAAGCAGAACTTGGGGTTGCCAACAGACCACTTGGAACCCAAAATGTCTCCTCCTGGTGAAAGACCTAGGGGGCTCCCAGTGCCTTATCAGGCCTGAGGATGCCAATATGGCCACAGCCAGAGGACAGCAGTGGCCACAGGAGGGCTAGCTGTGTGCTCAGGTCAGTCTGGGAGGGTAGGCCTCCCGTGCACCAGGGGGCCCTGTGAGGAGAGTTGGCATGACATCAAGGGCAAGTAAGAAGTGATGGTGGGGATCTACTCGGAGGGGACACAGAAGTGGCTGCAGGGGTCCCTTGAAAGGGGATATGCATGTCTCTTGGTCAGGGAAGGTAAAGTCTCTAGAACACTGTGCCAGTTCCCAGGAGAGGGACAGGTGAACTGACCACTACCTGGAAGTCACAGCGCCCTACAGCAACAGCATCCACTGCTCTGACTGTGTCCCATCCTAGGCTATGGTCAGCAAGTAGAGGAACACAGGGAGAGGAAGCCACACTGCTGCTCTCTTGCCACAAGCACCCAGGCCTGAAGAACCCCAGTCAGGGCAGGGAAAAGAGATTTAGTGCCAGTCAGGTATAGAGTTCTGATTCTAGTGTCTGAGGACCAGTGGAGACAGTGGCTGGCTCCAAGTGCCTATAGGAGATGCAGGGATGTGCCAGGCGGTTTCCTGGGCAAGTGCTTTTTTTTTGTACTGCACAGGTGCACCAGGCAACAGGGACAGAGCCCTGAGTGCTCCGGGGCCCTCACTCACACCCTGCTTTTCCCATGTTAGATACAAGTGACACATCTATCCAGGCTCCTAGGCTCAGCAATCGGCTCTGCCACTTCTTTGACATGTGAGGCTGGGTGAGCCCCTGGCATCCTCACCTACAGAATGGCCCACATCACAGGGAGGTGTCGGGGCACTGAGTGAGCACATGGCAGAGATTGGGAGGACAGGGACGGGGCAGCAGCTCCGTTTTCCTCCTGTGAATTAGCTGGGGTGCTGTCCACATAGTCCATTACTGCTGCCTGAGTGGTAGGGTCTCCCTCCGCTCTCCTTAGGCCTGAGCAGGCCTTGTGGCTGCTCTGACTCACAGAGTGAGGCTGGGTCATGAAGACCCTGCCATGCAAGCTTCCTTCATGCCCTCCTAGGACATTCATTCTGGGGACAGCCAGCTGGCCCCAGCCTTGGAGTCTGATGACTTAGAGGCTGCCATACTGTGAGGAAGCCCAGCTGCTATGGAGTGGCCCTAAGTATGTGTTCTGCCACTGCTGCAGCCCCAGCCCAGCAAGCCCCAGGCATCTGAGTCATGATATCTCCAGATGTCTTCAACCCCAGTCTGACCTTCTGAACCATGGATGTGTATTTGTCATAAAATGTTTGTTTTGTGACCCTGGCTTCTGGGGGACACGGCTGATAAGTACCTGAGTAGGAGCTGGGTGAGGGCCATGGGCCCCTGTGCAGTGCTGGCAGGTCTTCATTGGAGCCTACCTGGGAGGGCTGAGAGCACTCCCGTGAGGCAGAGTGTGCAAGTGCCATGCGTGGGCTTCCCAGCACCTCCTCAGAGATTCCCCTAGTGACCCTGTGGTGAGAGACTGTGGTGTGAAGCATTCCTGTTCCCAGGAAAACCAAGGCTCAGAGAGATTAAGCCAACTGCCAGGGGTCCTACAGTCCCCAGGTGCTTGAGTTAAGCTCTGAACCTCGGTCTGGCTGGCCCTAGTACAGGGCTTAGTACCAGATGATAAAACCAGGAGACAGAAAGATGCATCAGAGAGCAGTCCTGAAGTGCAGGTGCAGACTGTGGAGGCCAAGGCCAAGGCCAAGGCTACCCTGGACTCTAGTCCGAGGACAAGTGTCCTTTGGGAAAGCCATGCAGAAGTGGGGCCAATCTGGAAATGTCCTAATCAGTTCCAAAACCATGAAATGTGTCTTGCCCTCTCTTAGGGTGAGTGTTCTGCTTGAGTTTTTCTCTCCAGGAAAGTAGTAGTTCATTTATGTAAGCTAAACATTACATGAGGGGGAGCAGGGGTTTGAAGATGTGGCATTCCTGGCCTTTTTTCCTCCACAGACCTGGAAACCAAGGTTTCTTCATCTCCTTTCTCACAGTCTATTTGTTGGAAGTGCATGGCCATTCCCCAGGGGTGGAAAGTGGGGGACAGCCCTCTCTGGGGTCTAGGGGTCATCCAAGGAGCCAAAGGAAGACTGCAGCTTAGAGACCACTTTTGATTATAATTAAGCTCCTGGAGAGGCAGTGACCGTGGCTGCTATCAATGCCTGGGTCAAGGCCTCCCAGGCCCCGAGGCAGAGGAGCTGGCTAGAGAAGGATTAGAGCATGCCCCATCCCACTGCTGGCCACCTTGGCCTGCTCACACTGGCCTTCTTTTGATTATGAACCTGCCAGTTCTTGCCCTTGATTTTGCTGCCTATCTTCCCCACCACTTGTGAGTGCTAGGGGTCAGGGTCTTGCCTTGCTCTTGCTGGGCAATTGGCCCATAGCATGTCTGAATGAATGCACGAGAACATCTGGGGGCCTTTCCTTGGCAGGTGTGGGGATGTCTGACTGCTGGAAAGAGCCCCAATGGAGCCTAACCCCCCTCCTGAGTAACGAAGGGAGGCTACGTTCCTCCCATTCCTGGGACTGCATGAGGCACATTCCAGTTCCTGAGTCTGGTCGGGCTCCTGCCACGCGGCTCAGTCTAACTGCCAGACCCAGAGAGGCCTCCCTGGAGCTGCCTTTCTGGTCCTTGCCTCTGGGGGACCCCTATCTTCCCCTGGCTATAGCAGCACCCCCCCCCCTCTCTGTCCTTTGAGGTGGCGAGGGGAGAGTTTGGGCCACTGAGTGTTCTTCAGCCTTCAGATACTCCCCAGCCCTCTGGTGATCAATGCAAACCTTCACATCCTGCTTCCAGGGCTGAAGCCAGGGATTTGGAAGACGGGTGGAAAACACTCCTGTGTGCCGGCTCCCTGCACTGAGTAGAAACTTGCCAGCATCAGCACTTCCCTGGAAGGCTATGCAAAATCAGTGGTCAGCCCATGCTGGAGCTGCCACCAAGACTGGGTGCCAGGAGCTCCAGGGCTGGGCTGAGGGGTAAGGCAGGTGACTAAGGCATTTACCCAGGGCCCCTCTGTGCTGGGCTGATGGAGTTCCACACTGGGCCCTCCATCAGGGGGCTTTTAGTCTGGTGAGGAAAATAGACATGGGACAAAGGAGCCCAGGGATGACTGGAGGGACATATAGTACAGGAGAGGTAGAGTGCTGGCAGGAGGGTGCAGCATGGGGCTGGGGCCAGTCATAAGGATTCTAGGCTTTGCAGGTCACAGGGGCTCTGTCCACCCACTCATCTCTGCCATTGAAAGCAGACAGGCAATCTCTCTGGGGGTGGGTGTGGCTGTGCATCCTCCTATGCAAAAATCAGGGTGGGCCAGTTTTGGCCCACAGCTTGCTGGCCCTTGTGAGATGGCACCTGACCTGGTGGGGGTGGAAGCTGGGGAGGCCTCCCTGAGGCAGTGCCAATTAGCTAAAAGCTGAAGGCTGATTCAGTGACAGGCAGAATCTTGGTGTTGACAACCACAGCACCAATGACAAAGCTGCACCTGTGGGTCTGGTGTGTCAGGCTCCGCAATGCTTCACACATATCACCTCAGAAAGTCCCCATGACAGCCCAGTGAGGGACGAGTATGTCAGTCCTACTTTATAGATGGAGTGTGGGTTACAGAGCATCTCAGAGGAAAAAGTTGTCTGGGGGAGTATTCTAGAACAGGGAGCAGGTGGAGACCAGCCCAGCCCCAAGAGCTTTCCCTTGGACACATTTGCCAGGGGCCATTTGTCATGGGAAGGCAGTGAGCTTGGAAGATGTTTTAATGGTGGGCACAAGGAAGCCCCATGAGCTCCATGAAAATCAAGCCATGGCCAACAGTGACTTGAGTACCTTGAGGTGTAGATAAGAGCATCTTCCAAGCTCTGAGGAGCAACCATATTGCCCTCTGCCAAGTTATCAGAGGACCAGGGTGCTAGGGTATGGTCCAGCTGGCAGGATGGAGTTCACAGAGGCCGGGAGACAGGGAGCTGGGAATGCAGCCCAGGGACAGGGCAGAGGCCTTGCAGGGTGGGGCTTGCAGAAGGCTGCAGTACTGCCCAGCCCCGCCACCCCATGGCTCTGACATGGGAGCGTGGAGATGGTGGTTTGAGCAGGTCCAAGGCTGGAGGGGGCATGGCAACGGCTTGCTACCCCTTCCCAAATAGGCACTGCATGTCAAACTACACTGGATGCCTTCCAAACATGGTCCTGGTCTGACATTCTAACATTCCTGGGATGATGGTTTTAGTATCCCATTTTATAGGTAAGGAATTGAAACCCAGAGGGGTGAAGTCACGTATGTAAGACTGCAGTGGTCTAAATCACAGGTTAGTGTGCTCCAGAGCTCAAACTAGGAGAAATGCTGCTAGAGATCAGCCCTGGTCACTGAAAGCTGGCTGGACTGTGACTAAAAGGTAACATGATGAAAATGACAGTGAAGCCACCAACACCAGGGGCATTGTCACAATGCACTGACACAGGCAGAGCACTTTACGGGCCTGACTTATCAGGAATTACGACAGCTCTACAAGAGTGTGCCATCTTAGCGCCACTCTGTGGGGGAGATCACTGAAGACCAGAGAAGCCACATGTCAAGCTGGGAAAGGTGGGGCTGGGGCTTGATGCAGAGCCTGGGAGCTCATCACCAGGAACGTGTGTGCACGCACATGTGCGCTCCCTAACAGGGGAATAAATCCAATGCTCCCAGGAGGATGAGCCACCTGAACATGGTGACACCCAAACCCTAGGCATCCAGGGCACCCCTGAGGGGCACATAACCCAACCCCCAGCCCACATGCCCCAAAGGTAAAGGTCTAGGTGGCCTGGAGAAGATCCTGGGTTTTTCTGTTCCTCATGCACACTTCCAACTTGGGGCTCTGTTTTTCCCTTTCTTGGAGCTGTTCACTCCCAGGGTCCTCCAGGGAGCCTCTGCACAGGGGTGTCCCTCAGGGGTCCAATGTGATCAGGAGCCTGGCAGGTTGGCATGGGACACCGAGTGGGGACAGTTGAGTCTGCCACACTCCAAACTCAGCTGTGCCCTTTGGCTCCACAGGCAAAGGCCAACCCAGCAGCCACCTTTAGTCCATGAGGGCTCTGATCCCACCTGAGGTGGCTACGATACCTGCAAGATCTTCCTTGGATGAAACTAGTCTTGGAGAGCTGCTTCCTGGTTCAATTCTGAGTGACAGTCTGAAACAAAGATTTTCACAAAATCAGACGGGCCCCTGGCTTATCCGAGGGAGAACAAAGCAAGTGTGCATTTGGGGTTGGGATATGGGATGTCATTGAAGGGCCAAGTAGCCACAGGACCCAGGAACACTGTGAGATCTGCTCCCAATCACAGCTGCATACATTTTATAAATGAGGACACTGGGGGCAGTGGGACTAAGTAGCTTCCTTTCCCAAATTCACAGGGCCAGCAGTGCAGAGCAGAGCAGGGATGCTCTGACACACATGAAGGCTCTGTGGGTCACAACTGTCAACCTGGGGTAGCTCTTTCTGGAGTGGATGGAGACAGCCCCCAGTGAGGTGAAGGAAACCCTGAGCCCACTACCAAACTGACTGCAGGCTTCCTGTCTCCAGAGAGCTGGCGGCTCCAGCTCCCCCAGGCTACAGAGTCGGGGAGATCTGGGACCCCTGGGCCTCCCAGCCAGATGGAGGGGAACCAGCCCCTCTCTGCACACAGGAGGAGGGCCAGGTGCCCCCTGCTATAGCAGAGGCATGGAACACCCAGACAGCCTCCTGAATGGAAGCAAGAAGAAAAGAAATGGCCTGGCAGCCTGCAGACCTCCTCTCACAAAGAAGGAAAGAAAAAGGGAGACAGCGCTGCCCGGGCCTGACCCAGCACCCCAGGAAATCCCCTCAGGCGTTCTCAATGGGGGGAAGACTTACTAAAAAGATGGCTGAACACAACAAAATCTGAAAAATGAGAGGATGAAACAAAGGAACAAGATGGAACAGGGGACTGTGGACTGAGAGGACTAAATGGAAGATTGGAATGAGAACGTGCTGGCCCAACACCTCAGTGGAAACAGATCACCTGGGGACACTGAGCACTGGGGAGGAGCTCGCAGCCCTTAGAGAGGAGCTCAGGACGAGGAGGGCAGAGAACACGCAACACATGGCACCCTGAACGACAGAAGCCAGGAAATGGCATGGATGAGAAAGTCCATCAGAGCAGAGAGACCCTGCGTGGCTCTGAGGCTGTACCCTATAGGGCTTTGGAACTTCACAGAGCTCTTCACCCCCAGGCAGACAAAACAACAGACTTACTTGAGACTTCTCTACAGCACCACCCAAAGCCAGGAGGCAATGCACAGGGTCTACAGGCCTGGGGGAGAGCAGAGCCCCAGCCCATGCAGACATTTCCATGGAGAACTCAGGGAGTGCAGGACCCATGAGGGCGGGGAGGGGCCTGCTTCCTGATGAAATTCAGCTATTAAGGGAGCGTTTTGAAAATAAAGACTCCAGGAACTGAGATGCTGTGGGGGAACAACAGGTGGTAAGAACTGAATCCACTTAAAAACATGAAACAGTAGGAATTGTGATTCCTGAACATGATGTTTATGTTGTAAACTTGAACTACGCTGTCCAATAATAACACAACTAACAAAAATCTGGAAGGTGGTGGAGGTGAAGGAGGGGGTAGTGCTCATAGTTTCAGCTTTCAAAACTGGAGCCAACTGATACCGGACACAGTAGAAACCTAGATACAAGGAAACTCACTGACTCAGGCCTCTTCATGTTTTTCCTGATCCCTCTTAAGAATCTTAGGAGGCTCATTTGGAAAATAATATCCCTTGTAAAAGAAATATTATTTAGAGAGCAGAGATTCTTGCCTTTTATTTCAGTTCCTTTTTCTTGTTGAATTAAACTAAAATACTTGAATTAAAAAATAGCAAGGGTGGTATGATCCTATTTTAATAAATTCCATCATTGCATCCATCCATTGGTCCATGCTTCATGTACATGTAAATTTTCCACACATAGAAAAATGTCCAAAATGATGTTTACTTAATTCTAATGGGTGTGCTTTCTAGGTGGCAGGAATTTGGGTAATAAAAAAAAAAGGCCAAAGCACTAACTGGGCCTCTTGGTGCAATACCTCAAAGCAGACGGGAAGTGTGTTAGGCAAGCAGGTCACCAATGTCCTATGTGAGGGTGAGAAGCCAGTCTCCAGGTGCGAGCTGGCCATGGAGAGGATGCCCCCAGCAGAACCACAGGCCCTGAGTCCTCTTGCTACTCAGAGCCAGGACCTCCCTGGGAAAGGAGCCCCAGTGGTGGCTGATTGGGGCCAAAATGTAGCCTTCCCTGCTGGGCTTGCCCATTTTGGCCACAACAAAGGGGTGACCGTCCTTTAGCATCAAGTGCTGAGGGTGCTCTTTGACCTTCAGAAAAGAAGGCGTAATCGCTATCAATCTTCAGCCTTTCCAGGGATTGTGTCATGGTCACAAATATTTATAGACCATTTTTCTCTTTAAAGAATATCACTGTTAATGAAAAACTACTGTCTCTTTAAATCGAAAGTCTGGCGCATGAATGGAAAATATTACCCAGAACCTAAGCAGGAATAGTCTCGGCTGCAGGGCACTCTTTTCAGGAATAGCAAATGCTTTGTGAATAAAACAACTTGTGTGATGAACTGCAGTTTTAATGGTAATCTCTGGCTTCATCTGTTCTTGTTGCTATTATGTAATAGATTACAATTTCACATTATTTTTAATTTTGACAAATTATTTTATAATAACAACTAATATATTACGTCTAGGATCTTAGAACCACAGAGGGAACTCTGAAAGAAGACAGATCTCCAGGCCCCACCCGAGACATCTGGATGGTTAGAAAGTGTTTAGGGCAGCTCTGATTTATAGCCAGGACAGCAAGCTGCTACGGCAGAGCTGGCCAGTGGGGCGCTGCTGACCAGCCGTTCCCAGATCCCAGTGTGGGACTCAGTGGCCACAGTTCTCCACAGTTTTCATTGGCTTAGATGAATACCAAGTAATAAGGAAGACCAAATTTGTAGACATAAAACTGGAAGAGAGAGAGAGAGAGAGAAAATCCATACTAGATAACAAGATTCAAAGGAATCATGGTATACTGGGAGCAACCAGTAAGATAAGATTTAAAAGAAAACCTGTAAAGTTGACATTTAGGTAGCAAATGATCAACTGCAGGATGGCTGAGACTGGCCTTGATATCAGGTTACATGAAAAGGAACTGAGACTCACAGGTGACCTGAAACTCAAAATGAGCCAAGAGGATGCCCAACCAATATGGCAGGGTTGATACCCAAAGTCCGCCTTCTCCCTCCAAAGACAGAAACGCTGGATATACTCCCAGGTGTCTCCAGTGAAGAAAGAACTGAGGACCAGAGCAGGGTGAGCCATGACAAGCCACAGGGTCTGCAGTGGTCTCTCTGACAGGTGGGTCTATCCACAGGGGCTGCCAAGAGATGGTGCTGGGGGTTCACTCGCTTGCCCCATGGGCCACGTGGGAAAACCACACTCGGAAGGGAAAACAATAGCTCGGACCTTGGGGCCTGAGGCACCAGGGCTGTGCAGACAGTGCTGCTGTTTACCTGGTTTCTGGAGGGCATACAGTGCTGTGGGTGCTGGGGCATGGGGGCCCTGTTACTTACTGGTCCCAACAAGGGCTAGATCACCCCCAGGGACTTGAGTGCTAGGGACAACACAGCTGGTAGGCCTGACTCAGGGGTGGGTGGGGACTCACTTATAGTTGTCATCTTCCACGAACTTCTGGAGCTCTTCAATGTAGCGCACTGACTTCAGGTACTTCTGCACATGGGGCAGGGTTGTGAGGTGATCTGCAAAAGGCAGACAAAACCCAGAGGCCTCAGGTCTCTCCCACCTCCAGTCCCAAAGGAAAAGCACAGGAAGTACAAATTAGATGCTCCTTGGATACTGAGGTCCATTCCCTCTGCCAGCAGTGCTGACCTGCCTCGGGGTCAGACCCTGTGCTGGGCACAAAGGGTGGTCAGACCTAGGTTAGGCCCTTGAGGAGCGACCCCTAAATGTGTGGGCCACAGACGCCACACTCCAAGGCCACCACAGTTCTCTGGCCAGGAAGGAGAATCTGAGGCCTCCACTTAGAGCTCAGAGTTGGGAAGAGAAGGTGTGCTGACCTCTAGAACAGACTAGAAACAGCTGTCTGTGCCCTAAACATATGTCCACTGGAGGAATCAGGCAAACCTCCCATGCCTGCCCACTGTCTGTGTGGCAGGAATGCAGGAACCACTGATTTGGGTGCACAAGCCCAACCCAGACCATGGCCCGTGGCTTTAGCTGATGCATGCTGGGAAGAAAGGCAGGAGCCCTGTGCCTGAGCACCAGTCTGAGCTGGACTGGGCTCCAGGTGACTCACAGGAGTCATCTATCTTAACCTTCACTCAGCCTCACATAGGAGGCATGGAGGAAGAACCTGGGCAACTGAGAAGCAACAGAGCCATGGTGGACCCAGGTTAGCAGAAGCCATGCCACACCACACTGCCTCTCCTTCTTGGGTGATTGCTGCCAGCCACTCTCTGTAGACTTCACAGTCACTGCACTCCTCCTGAGGGGGCCATGGGGTGGGACAGAAACTTTAATTGGCAGGAGTGGAGGAGGCTTTGAAGAGGATGGGTAGGGAGGACCCTCTTTTTCCTGGACGGGCATCCAGATGCTGGGGGAGCCCTTGGAGGCTTGGCCCCTTGGCTGCCAGATTCTGAAGGTCATTTTACTTCTCTGAAGTCTCCATGTTCTTGTCTGTGAAACGCGAATAAGGACACCTGCTTTAAGAGCTGATGCAGTGGCAAGTGAGGCTAATAGTGAAAGGTGAGAGCACTCCCTGAGCTCTGCTGAAACATGAGGGCTGTGCCCAGAGCACTGCTCACGTCATGGCCCCAGCTTCATGCATGAACAAACCTTATAGAGGATAAAGTGACTTTTCAAGAGGTAGCTCTGAGACTTCAACTGAGTCTGTCTGACCTGAAGCCTATGTCTGTGACTGCTCTGCTCATCATGGTGAGTGGAGGCTCTGGGACAAGGGAGGCCCCTGCATTGAGAACACAGGTACCTGTCAGAGGAAGGCTGACCTGGATGGTGGCCTTTGAAGACCAAACTGATGTGGAAAGGATCTAGCACATATTTGAAGCTTGAGATATTAAAATGAAAAGCTTTGTTGGACTACCTGGTTTCTGAAGTGTTCTAGAAGAAATTTGATGTTGGACCCAAATTTCAATGATGCAAGATCTTAAAATCTCAAGAAACAAGGTTACTAACCATAGCTGCAGGAAACTTGTAAATCAGCAATTATTCGGAGAATATTGTTCATCTGATTAGATCTTTGTTCATTTTCCATGATGCTGCCTGAGGCAGGATATGCAGAATCGATGTAGATTAGATCCAGAAGATAGATTCCTAAAATTAAAGAAGACATTAACTGTGGTCGGAGTTCACTACTGATCAGAGCAAAAGAGCACAAAATAGCCCTGTTCTGCAAGAAGGTAGAAAGGATGGCTCAAGGAGACCCGTTTTGACTGCAATTCCAATCCTGACTCCTCATTTTTCATGCAGACTGTAAATTGAACATCTGAGCAACATCCAAAATGAATGCTGGCAGAGTTTAACATTTCTTGTTCATACTTTTTCCAACAATAAAGCTTTTTACTTATAATACAAATGGAAAATAACAGGACATGAAAGAGATGAATACTTTAATTTTTCACCAACCAGTAAAGTTTATTTAACAGGTCTAAACTGTCATGTTGAGCAGGATATCTGTTTGAGCTGTTATAGTTTGGATCTGGAACATTTTCCAAAGGCTCATGTATGGAAAGCTTCAGAGATTTAGGGAAGTGACTGGATCATGAGGGCTCTAACCTTAAGAATGGATTAGTCCACTGGGGGATTCATGGCTAAATGGAGACTAGGAGTGGTGGTGGAGACTAGGAGGTGGAACCTAGTTGGCAGGGGTGGGTCCTTGGAGGCATGACCTTGGGGACTGTATCTTGTCTCCCCCATTCCTTGCTCTCTCTCACTCTACCTCCCAGTCACCATGAGGTAAGTAGCTATGCTTCACTACTCCCTTCTGCCATGACACTCTGCCTCACCACAGCCCAGAAACAATGGAGCCAGCCAACCGTGGACTGAAACCTCAGAAACCAGAAGCCAAAATAATTCCTCCCTTCTTTAAGTTGTTTATCTCAGGTATTTTTTTCAAAGCAATAAAAAAAGACTAACATGTTAAATTCTCTTCATTTATTCACTTAAGTGTGTGTTTATTTGTCTCTGTCCAAATAGTATGCATGCACGCACATATACAATCATAGATTAACTAGAGAACAAAAGAAGAGATTAAAAATGGAAAAGTTCTCAGTACACAGAACTAAGACTAGACAGAGAATTCTCCTGAGAATGCTTAAAATAAGGTATGATATAAAAACATTGTCATGGGCTGGGGATGTGGCTCAAGCGGTAGCGCGCTCGCCTGGCATGCATGCGGCCTGGGTTCGATCCTCAGCACCACATACAAACAAAGATGTTGTGTCCGCCAAAAACTAAAAAATAAATAGTAAAAAAATTCTCTCTCTCTCTCCCTCTCTCTCACTCTCTCTTTAAAAAAAAAAACAAAAAACATTGTCATAACAGGCCAGTAATGAGCTGGGGGAATTCAGGTCAAGTTGCCAGTGAGAGAGAGAGAGAGAGAGAATATATATATATATATATAAAATATGTATATATATTATAGTGGTATAGTAACAAAATTAGCAAGCTTGGTTTTTTGGTTTCCTCCTCCTCCTCCTCCTCCTCTTTCTTTTAGTTGTACATGGACACAATGCTTTTGCTTTATTTATTTTTATGTTGTGCTGAGTATCGAACCCAGTGCCTCACAAGTGCTAGGCAAGTGCTCTGTCCCTGAGCTAAATACAACTCCAGCCCCACAAGCTTGGTTTTACATAAACGAAAATATAGTTCTTTTCAGATACCAATAGACTACTTACAAAAATTTGTTTATACTAGGTTATAAAGAAAAGGAACTTTAGATAGGGTAAAGGCAAAGGAGGGGGCATGGAGGTAGGAAAGATGGTGGAATGAGTTAGACATCATTACCCTAAGTACATGTATGAAGACAGGAATGGTGTGAAAATACTTTATGTACAACCAATGACTTGAAAAATTGTGCTCTATATGTGTAATATGAAATGAACTGCATTCTGCCATCATATATAACAAGTTAGAATAAATAAAATTTAATAAAAAACTAAAAGAAAAGTTCTGTAAGTTCTAAAAAGTAAATACCATATTATTCACATGCTTTGACCTTACTATAATACCTCTATGATTTAAATCCTAAAAAGTTCTAACCATTTGAAAACACACACACATATACATATTCATAAGTAACTCCTAGGTCAAAGAAAAAACAAAAAAAAATCTAAAATAAAAAAATCTGTTTGAAGATGATAACAGGAACACTACATATCAAAAAAGTATGGTTCTGGCCAATATGGTAATATGAGAAAATTTTATAGCCTTAGAAGTTTATTATTAAATGACTAAGTATTATTACAAACACAGAAATTAACCTCATACTTTAGAGTTTTGCATAGATGGAGAATACTGAACTAGGAATTATACCTTCATTATCTTATTTATCCTTCCAACAACCCATTTTATAGAGGGAAAAAAAGGAAACTCAGAGAGGATGTGTAACTTGCTTGAGGTCACAAGCTGGTAAATGCTGGAGATGGGAGTCGAACCCAAGCCTGCCTCCTCTGGAGTGCACGCTTCCTGCTGTCGTAGTGGACCAATGGTACTGGATACCATGACTCACTCGTCTGCTTTTAAAATAGTTACACATTGTTATGGGAAACCATTAAATCACAGAAACATATGCTAGCACTTCTCATAGGAGTCATTTCCACTTCCTTTCTTTCTGGTGGTACCATGCTTCCAATATTTACTAATTAGAAATAATTTCCCTTGAACAGAAGCTCTAAGTCTGATAGGTTTGAACCCATGGCTTTATTCTTTCTCTTAACTTTGTTTTTCCTCTCTCCTCTTTAAAATGTAACTCAGTTACCTCCCCAAGGACTCAGCAATGGCAATCCTGAAAATCCCATTATTGCTTCAACCACAACAGAAAGCAACCCCCAGAGTTGAGCAGGGGGTGGAGGGATGTGGGCCACGAGGCAGTGTGACTGCAGACACAGCACACAGATGTCAGCCTGGCTGACTCAGAGGGGCTGGGCAAATCTCAGCCCAGAGCAGGATAAGGGTAAAGGGGGCCTTCTGCTTCTGGGGTCTACTGCAAGACCGAACTGACCCCTCCTTGTTGCATCAACTCTGGGAAGAAGGAGGAGATAACTAAATCTCAGGGATTAAGGAGCAAGAAGGCTGGGACTTGCCCCAGGTCTGTCTGGCTGCAGGTCCAGCCCCAGCCCCTCCTTGCACCCTGAGGAGTGGGGGTTCACTACTGCCTGAGAGTAGCATGTTCATGGATCCCTGCCAGGAAGCACGCACACTCTAGCACCTGCCTGCTCCTCAGGCCACAGTGTGCTGAGGATGGGGTGGACCCCACCAAGGAGGCTCCTGGCTCCAGTGACTTGGGGAAACCTACCCCTGGTCATGCATGAACAGACCCTCCGCTAGACAGTCTTCTACAGCCACAGCGGCTACAGGAGCAGATTTTCTGTAGCTAACAAAGTTTTCAGGGAACCCTTTTCTGTGGCATAGTAGTCCATATTAGGAAATATTTATACACCCTAAGCATAGGAAATCATAAGAATAACCACCTCCAGCTGGCACTGTGCCAGGTGCTGGGCTGATTCCTCTGTTAGTGCTCGCCACAGGCCCAGCTGGAGACGTGATTGTGTCACCCATGTACTTAAGGCCTGATTCCCCACCAGCCTAAACCCTGAGATCGGGCGGTGTGTCCTGTTCTAAGGGCTCAGTCCCCGGTGTCTGGAACAGACAAGGAGGAGCTGCGTGGTAAACACCAGCTGAAGAAGGGAATGCCGGAACAAAGGCATATTTTATTCATCACAGACAATAACTGTAGGAAGCGCATGTTGTTCTGTAGCTGAAGAGACACCGAGAGTCACGTGACCATGATGACCACTGATGTTTACTGAGCACTTATTATGCCACCCCAGGTCCTAAACTAAGAGCTTTGGACAGGTTACTGATCTGTAAGAACAACACTGTTGCAGGAGGTCTCACCCCTGTGGTACAGAGGAAGGAACTGAGCTGAGAGAGGTTGCATTGCTGGCCTGAGGTCACACAGTGGGGGAGTTGCACAGGCAGGATTTGCACACAAGTCTGTCCAGGCTGCTGTATTATCAGTCCTTCTTTCCCTTCAGCCAGATCTTCCAGTGCCTAGCCAGATGGCGACATAGCTGAAGCTGGGGGACCACACTCTTCCAGGAAGGCTCATGAGGAGACTGTGGCTACCTCTCCTTGCTACACCAACCACCTCTTATTCCCTACTCCATCATGGCCATTGGAGCATATCTGTCCCAGGTCCCATTATCAGTGGCCCACCCAGACTTGGGGGCTCTGCCAGATCTGTAGCATTGTAGGCAGTTGTGAGTTGTATTGCAAAAAAGACTTGGAGCCTTGCTTCTGCTACCTACCAGAGTGAGGGTGGCCTCAGGTGAGGCTTTTCATCTCCTGGGACCTCAGTTTCCTTGACAATTAAAGTGGATAATAACTGAGTGAAGGGAGTCTCCTGGCCTAGGGCCTGGACCATTGAAGTGGCCAAGAAGTTAAGCTGACCCTGACCTGACTCCCTTGTGAGGTCTCACTGGGATCAGCAGTGGATGTTCAAGAGAGAGAAGCACCCAGCTGCATTTGCCATAATCATGGATGGTGCCCAGAAGCTAGTCACACAAGGCCACTCCGAGCTGGACCATGCTGGGAGCTTCCATCTGGAGGGGATAGCACAGCTGGACATCACAGCCCTTATTCCTATTTAGACAATTAATGAAGCGGATAACACTGTGTTGTTGGCCCAAGAAGATGCGCAGCAACACGACCAGCCACTGACTTTGGCTGCCATAGGGCTGAGTGATGCCAGGGACTGGGCTGGAAGGGGAGGTGTGGACACTTCAGAGGAAGGAGCTGTAATAGTCCCAGCCACTGTCTGCTACTGGGAGGATGTGTGCTAATATCTCATGCACTTTTGCAGCAATCTTGACAAGCAGGTACCCTCATTCTCCCATTTTACAGGTTAGGAAACTGAGATTTAGGAAGAAAAGTGACTAGGCCAAGATCAAACAGCTTTTAAGTATGAGTCAGCCTATCTGACTTCAAAGACTTGGGACCGAGATCAGTGCTAGGGGCTTGGGGCTGGCAGGGTCCTAGCCACAGAGCTGGAGGCATGAGGAACACTGCTGTGGCCTGCCTGTTGAGGACAC